GCATTCATGCATTCAGGCATTCATGCATTCAGGCATTCAGGCATTCAGGCATTCATGCATTCAGGCATTCATGCATTCAGGCATTCATGCATTCATGCATTCAGGCATTCATGCATTCAGGCATTCATGCATTCATGCATTCAGGCATTCATGCATTCATGCATTCAGGCATTCATGCATTCAGGCATTCATGCATTCATGCATTCATGCATTCAGGCATTCATGCATTCAGGCATTCATGCATTCATGCATTCAGGCATTCATGCATTCATGCATTCATGCATTCATGCATTCAGGCATTCATGCATTCATGCATTCAGGCATTCATGCATTCATGCATTCATGCATTCATGCATTCATGCATTCATGCATTCAGGCATTCATGCATTCAGGCATTCATGCATTCAGGCATTCATGCATTCAGGCATTCATGCATTCAGGCATTCATGCATTCAGGCATTCATGCATTCAGGCATTCATGCATTCAGGCATTCATGCATTCATGCATTCAGGCATTCATGCATTCAGGCATTCATGCATTCATGCATTCAGGCATTCATGCATTCAGGCATTCATGCATTCATGCATTCATGCATTCATGCATTCAGGCATTCATGCATTCAGGCATTCATGCATTCATGCATTCAGGCATTCATGCATTCAGGCATTCATGCATTCATGCATTCAGGCATTCATGCATTCATGCATTCATGCATTCATGCATTCATGCATTCATGCATTCATGCATTCAGGCATTCATGCATTCATGCATTCATGCATTCAGGCATTCATGCATTCAGGCATTCATGCATTCAGGCATTCATGCATTCATGCATTCAGGCATTCATGCATTCATGCATTCAGGCATTCATGCATTCATGCATTCATGCATTCATGCATTCATGCATTCATGCATTCAGGCATTCATGCATTCATGCATTCAGGCATTCATGCATTCATGCATTCATGCATTCATGCATTCAGGCATTCATGCATTCATGCATTCATGCATTCATGCATTCATGCATTCAGGCATTCATGCATTCATGCATTCATGCATTCATGCATTCATGCATTCATGCATTCATGCATTCATGCATTCATGCATTCAGGCATTCAGGCATTCATGCATTCATGCATTCAGGCATTCAGGCATTCATGCATTCAGGCATTCATGCATTCATGCATTCAGGCATTCATGCATTCAGGCATTCAGGCATTCATGCATTCAGGCATTCATGCATTCAGGCATTCATGCATTCAGGCATTCATGCATTCATGCATTCAGGCATTCATGCATTCAGGCATTCATGCATTCATGCATTCAGGCATTCATGCATTCAGGCATTCATGCATTCATGCATTCAGGCATTCATGCATTCAGGCATTCATGCATTCATGCATTCAGGCATTCATGCATTCAGGCATTCATGCATTCAGGCATTCATGCATTCAGGCATTCATGCATTCATGCATTCATGCATTCATGCATTCATGCATTCATGCATTCATGCATTCATGCATTCATGCATTCATGCATTCATGCATTCATGCATTCATGCATTCATGCATTCAGGCATTCATGCATTCAGGCATTCATGCATTCATGCATTCATGCATTCATGCATTCATGCATTCATGCATTCATGCATTCAGGCATTCATGCATTCATGCATTCATGCATTCAGGCATTCATGCATTCAGGCATTCATGCATTCAGGCATTCATGCATTCATGCATTCAGGCATTCATGCATTCATGCATTCAGGCATTCATGCATTCATGCATTCATGCATTCATGCATTCATGCATTCATGCATTCAGGCATTCATGCATTCATGCATTCATGCATTCATGCATTCATGCATTCATGCATTCATGCATTCATGCATTCATGCATTCATGCATTCATGCATTCATGCATTCATGCATTCATGCATTCAGGCATTCATGCATTCAGGCATTCATGCATTCATGCATTCATGCATTCATGCATTCATGCATTCATGCATTCATGCATTCAGGCATTCATGCATTCATGCATTCATGCATTCAGGCATTCATGCATTCAGGCATTCATGCATTCAGGCATTCATGCATTCATGCATTCAGGCATTCATGCATTCATGCATTCAGGCATTCATGCATTCATGCATTCATGCATTCATGCATTCATGCATTCATGCATTCATGCATTCAGGCATTCATGCATTCATGCATTCAGGCATTCATGCATTCATGCATTCATGCATTCATGCATTCAGGCATTCATGCATTCATGCATTCATGCATTCATGCATTCATGCATTCAGGCATTCATGCATTCATGCATTCATGCATTCATGCATTCATGCATTCATGCATTCATGCATTCATGCATTCATGCATTCAGGCATTCAGGCATTCATGCATTCATGCATTCAGGCATTCAGGCATTCATGCATTCAGGCATTCATGCATTCATGCATTCAGGCATTCATGCATTCAGGCATTCATGCATTCAGGCATTCATGCATTCATGCATTCATGCATTCAGGCATTCATGCATTCATGCATTCATGCATTCAGGCATTCATGCATTCATGCATTCATGCATTCATGCATTCATGCATTCATGCATTCATGCATTCATGCATTCAGGCATTCATGCATTCATGCATTCAGGCATTCATGCATTCATGCATTCATGCATTCATGCATTCAGGCATTCATGCATTCATGCATTCATGCATTCATGCATTCATGCATTCAGGCATTCATGCATTCATGCATTCATGCATTCATGCATTCATGCATTCATGCATTCATGCATTCATGCATTCATGCATTCAGGCATTCAGGCATTCATGCATTCATGCATTCATGCATTCATGCATTCATGCATTCATGCATTCATGCATTCATGCATTCATGCATTCATGCATTCAGGCATTCATGCATTCAGGCATTCATGCATTCATGCATTCATGCATTCATGCATTCATGCATTCATGCATTCATGCATTCAGGCATTCATGCATTCATGCATTCATGCATTCAGGCATTCATGCATTCAGGCATTCATGCATTCAGGCATTCATGCATTCATGCATTCAGGCATTCATGCATTCATGCATTCAGGCATTCATGCATTCATGCATTCATGCATTCATGCATTCATGCATTCAGGCATTCATGCATTCATGCATTCAGGCATTCATGCATTCATGCATTCATGCATTCATGCATTCAGGCATTCATGCATTCATGCATTCATGCATTCATGCATTCATGCATTCAGGCATTCATGCATTCATGCATTCATGCATTCATGCATTCATGCATTCATGCATTCATGCATTCATGCATTCATGCATTCAGGCATTCAGGCATTCATGCATTCATGCATTCAGGCATTCAGGCATTCATGCATTCAGGCATTCATGCATTCATGCATTCAGGCATTCATGCATTCAGGCATTCATGCATTCAGGCATTCATGCATTCATGCATTCATGCATTCAGGCATTCATGCATTCATGCATTCATGCATTCAGGCATTCATGCATTCATGCATTCATGCATTCATGCATTCATGCATTCATGCATTCATGCATTCATGCATTCATGCATTCATGCATTCAGGCATTCATGCATTCATGCATTCATGCATTCATGCATTCAGGCATTCATGCATTCATGCATTCATGCATTCATGCATTCATGCATTCATGCATTCATGCATTCATGCATTCATGCATTCATGCATTCATGCATTCATGCATTCATGCATTCATGCATTCATGCATTCATGCATTCATGCATTCATGCATTCATGCATTCATGCATTCATGCATTCAGGCATTCATGCATTCATGCATTCAGGCATTCAGGCATTCATGCATTCAGGCATTCATGCATTCATGCATTCAGGCATTCATGCATTCAGGCATTCATGCATTCAGGCATTCATGCATTCATGCATTCATGCATTCAGGCATTCATGCATTCATGCATTCATGCATTCAGGCATTCATGCATTCATGCATTCATGCATTCAGGCATTCATGCATTCAGGCATTCATGCATTCAGGCATTCATGCATTCATGCATTCAGGCATTCATGCATTCATGCATTCAGGCATTCATGCATTCATGCATTCATGCATTCATGCATTCATGCATTCATGCATTCAGGCATTCATGCATTCATGCATTCAGGCATTCATGCATTCATGCATTCATGCATTCATGCATTCATGCATTCAGGCATTCATGCATTCATGCATTCATGCATTCATGCATTCAGGCATTCATGCATTCATGCATTCATGCATTCATGCATTCATGCATTCATGCATTCATGCATTCATGCATTCATGCATTCAGGCATTCAGGCATTCATGCATTCATGCATTCAGGCATTCAGGCATTCATGCATTCAGGCATTCATGCATTCATGCATTCAGGCATTCATGCATTCAGGCATTCATGCATTCAGGCATTCATGCATTCATGCATTCATGCATTCAGGCATTCATGCATTCATGCATTCATGCATTCAGGCATTCATGCATTCATGCATTCATGCATTCATGCATTCATGCATTCATGCATTCATGCATTCATGCATTCAGGCATTCATGCATTCATGCATTCAGGCATTCATGCATTCATGCATTCATGCATTCATGCATTCAGGCATTCATGCATTCATGCATTCATGCATTCATGCATTCATGCATTCAGGCATTCATGCATTCATGCATTCATGCATTCATGCATTCATGCATTCATGCATTCATGCATTCATGCATTCATGCATTCAGGCATTCAGGCATTCATGCATTCATGCATTCAGGCATTCAGGCATTCATGCATTCAGGCATTCATGCATTCATGCATTCAGGCATTCATGCATTCAGGCATTCATGCATTCAGGCATTCATGCATTCATGCATTCATGCATTCAGGCATTCATGCATTCATGCATTCATGCACAGCACAGCGTAGCACTTTTCATGGAGCACCCACATGTCGCTCTTCCCGGTTCATGTTTTGACACGGGACCATTTAAAAAACTTGCACCAGGAACACTGACTGACCGACCCATCTGCTCCGCCCCTCTCCTTTCTCCCGCTCCTCCCTCGCAGGGCATTCAGCCGTTCAACCGCCCTCCAGCCGACCATCGCACATGGGCTACGCTTGTGTGCCTTCCCCTCTGCCATGCTCTCATCTCTCCCTCCCTTCTGTCCCCCTCTGCGGCTACCCTCTCGCAGGGCATTCAGCCGTTCAACCGCCCTCCAGCCGACCATCGCACATGGGCTACGCTTGTGTGCCGTCGCGTGCACAACACGTGGCCGCAGGTAGGCATGGTGAAGAGCGCATGGTGACCTTGATGCATGGAGCATGTTGCAATGCATGGTATGCATGCATAGTCATGGGTCACTCTTTGTGCTATCATGTGCAGAACACATGGTTGCAGGTAGGCACATGCATGATACATTTTACATGCCATGTGTGCAGTGCATGGGCCCATGTGTTCGTGTGCAGTGCACAAGATAAGGCTGCGAGTTGAGCATGATGAGATATGATGCATGCATACATGCATGCCATGTGTGATGCATGCATGCATGCCTGTGGAGTTTGCACTGCAGAACAACACATGACTGCAGCTAAGTTTGTGCGTATCTGTGCATACATTGCACAACATCACTGCATGCTTGCACGCATTTATAAACTTATCCCCATTCCCCACTCTCTACCCCTTCTCTGTGCGCGTGCATGTGTGCGTGTGTGCGCGCGCGCGTACGTGTGTGTGTGTGTATGTGCGTGTGTGTTCGCGTACGTGTGTTTGTGCGTGTGTGTGTGTCTGTGTGTGTCTGTGTGTGTCTGTGTGTGTCTGTGTGTGTCTGTGTGTGTCTGTGTGTGTCTGTGTGTGTCTGTGTGTGTCTGTGTGTGTCTGTGTGTGCACCCCGATCTCTCTCTCAAACCAGGTTGCACCAGGAATTTGCCCTCTCTATTCCTGTCAGGGGTAAGTGCCTTCTTTCTGTCTTGGTACGTGTGCGCGCTACACACGTGTGCCCGTGTGTGTCTGTGTATGCACCTGTCTCTCAAACCAGGTTGCACCAGGGATTTGCCCTCTCTAGTCCTATCAGGGGTAAGTGCCTTCTCTTTCGCTTAGTACGCACCCTGTGCAATTCTTGCTCCCGCCCCTTTTGCTCCTCCGCTCCTTATGCTCTTCTTATGCTCTTCTTTTTCTCCTGCGCCCGCCTCTTCCCCCCGCCTCTTCCCCCCGCCTCTCCCCCCATGCGTCTGCTTCTCCCCACCGCCTCTCCCCCCATGTGCCCCCTTCTCCCCCCCGTGTTTCCCTCCATGCGCCCACATCTCCCTTTCCGCCCTCCCCCCGCGCCTCTTCCCCGCACATGCCCTAACCTCCCACCAGGGCTGAGGCGGAGCTCTATGCGTCCCTCCCTCCGCCTGACCGCGTGCGCATCTTGATCCCCCCATGTGCCCGCCTCTCCCCCCGCGCCTCTTCCCCCCTCCTCGTCCCCCCACACGCCCTAACCTCCCACCAGGGCTGAGGCGGAGCTCTACGCGTCTCTCCCCCCCCCTGACCGCGTGCGCATCTTGAAAGCCCTCTGCGAGATTCGGCTGGATGTGAGTAGGGGCTGTTTCGGTCTGAAAATAAAGCTGTATCTTGAATAGCTTACAGTAGAGAGACATTTAGTAGGGAGGCGTCTCTCCCTCCTCCCCCTCACCGCGTGCGCATCTTGAGAGCGAGCCCTCTGCGAGATTCGGCTGGATGTGAGTGGGGGCTGTGTGTTGGTTGGGCTGAATAGAGAGCTGCGTTTCAATCAGTGTAGTGTGCAGTACCATAGAGGCATCTAGTATGTAAGACGTCTCTCCCTCCGCCTGATCGCGTGCGCATCTTGAAAGCTCTCTGCGAGATTCGGCTGGATGTGAGTAGGAGCTTTGAGATTTGGGTGGATATGACAAAGAGCTGTGTTGTGAGGAGCAGCAGTAGAGGAACGTGCAGTAGAGGAACGTGCAGTAGAGGAACGTGCAGTAGAGGAACGTGCAGTAGAGGAACGTGCAGTAGAGGAACGTGTAGTAGAGGAACGTGCAGTAGAGGAACGTGCAGTAGAGGAACGTGCAGTAGAGGAACGTGCAGTAGAGGAACGTGCAGTAGAGGAACGTGCAGTAGAGGAAGGAACGTGCAGTAGAGGAACGTGCAGTAGAGGAACGTGCAGTAGAGGAACGTGCAGTAGAGGAACGTGCAGTAGAGGAACGTGCAGTAGAGGAACGTGCAGTAGAGGAACGTGCAGTAGAGGAACGTGCAGTAGAGGAACGTGCAGTAGAGGAACGTGCAGTAGAGGAACGTGCAGTAGAGGAACGTGCAGTAGAGGAACGTGCAGTAGAGGAACGTGCAGTAGAGGAACGTGCAGTAGAGGAACGTGCAGTAGAGGAACGTGCAGTAGAGGAACGTGCAGTAGAGGAACGTGCAGTAGAGGAACGTGCAGTAGAGGAACGTGCAGTAGAGGAACGTGCAGTAGAGGAAACGTGCAGTAGAGGAACGTGCAGTAGAGGAACGTGCAGTAGAGGAACGTGCAGTAGAGGAACGTGCAGTAGAGGAACGTGCAGTAGAGGAACGTGCAGTAGAGGAACGTGCAGTAGAGGAACGTGCAGTAGAGGAACGTGCAGTAGAGGAACGTGCAGTAGAGGAACGTGCAGTAGAGGAACGTGCAGTAGAGGAACGTGCAGTAGAGGAACGTGCAGTAGAGGAACGTGCAGTAGAGGAACGTGCAGTAGAGGAACGTGCAGTAGAGGAACGTGCAGTAGAGGAACGTGCAGTAGAGGAACGTGCAGTAGAGGAAACGTGCAGTAGAGGAACGTGCAGTAGAGGAACGTGCAGTAGAGGAACGTGCAGTAGAGGAACGTGCAGTAGAGGAACGTGCAGTAGAGGAACGTGCAGTAGAGGAACGTGCAGTAGAGGAACGTGCAGTAGAGGAACGTGCAGTAGAGGAACGTGCAGTAGAGAAACGTGCAGTAGAGGAACGTGCAGTAGAGGAACGTGCAGAAGAGGAACGTGCAGTAGAGGAACGTGCAGTAGAGGAACGTGCAGTAGAGGAACGTGCAGTAGAGGAACGTGCAGTAGAGGAACGTGCAGTAAAGGAACGTGCAGTAGAGGAACGTGCAGTAGAGGAACGTGCAGTAGAGGAACGTGCAGTAGAGGAACGTGCAGTAGAGGAACGTGCTATAGTTTGAGAGAATTCCCTGAAGAGATGGGGTTGGCTGGATGTGAGTACGAGCTGTGCTGTGAGGCGAGGAGAGACATGAGTATGGAGACAGTCAATACAGTACAGAGGCTGCCCTGCCATCCTGCCAATTCCTCCCTCTGTGCCTCCCTCCCTCCCTCCATCCCCATCACGCAGCAAGAGGACACGCGCATTGTGGTAGAGGCGGCCATGAAGAGGAATCCCGAGGAGATCCGCATGGAGCCGTTTGGGGTAGATGCCAACAACCACGTGTTCTGGTGGGTGCATTGTGGTGCAGTGCGGTGCAGTGCAGTGCGTGCGATGAGGGGCCGTATAAATGGATGGATGTGTCTCAATGTGCCTCAAATCTGCATGGATCCGTTTGGCATCGGCGCCAGCAGCCACATGTGTTTTGTGACTGTGATTCCCAGAGTATCCGTTTGGCATCGGCGCCAGCAGCAACCACATGTGTTTTGTGACTGTGGTTCCCAGAGTATCCGTTTTTTTCATCTGTTGCATCGTAATGTCTCTGCTCTCATCTCTCACTAGACCCTCTTTCACCCTCCCCACCATCCACAAAACATTGACCTTCAGGTTCTGCAACAATTCGGTGTTGGGCCATCGGCTGTTCAAAGAGGGCCCACCTGTTTACAACACACACTGCTTTTTCCTGTTTTGTGCCCATTACCCATTCTGCTTCTCCCCTTTCCTAACAACCCCCATCCTTCAGGTTTTGCAACGACTCAGTGCTGGGCCATCGGCTGTTCAAAGAGGGCCCACCTGTTTTCATCACACAAGAGGAGGCTGACGCCGCTGCCGCTGCCGCTGCTGCTGACTCTTCTTTTTCTTGTGCCCAACTCCCATCCCATTCTGCTTTTCCCTCTCCCCATCAACTCCCTGCCGCCAGGTTTTGCAACGACTCAGTGCTGGGCCATTGCATCTTACATTCTTTGCTCTCACCCTTCTCCCCCACCAATCCACAAACTCCTGGTTTTCAGGTTTTGCAACGACTCAGTGCTGGGCCATCGGCTGTTCAAAGAGGGCCCCCCTGTTTTCATCACACAGGAAGAGGCTGACGCTGCTGCCGCTGTTATTGCTGCTGAGGACTCTGCTTTTTCATGAGGTGACTTTTGAGTCGACTCAAAAGTCACCTTGTTATTGCTGCTGAGGACTCTGCTTTTTCATGTGTTGTGCTCAATTTCCATTCTACCTCCCAACAACTCCCCGCCTTCAGGTTCTGCAACGACTCAGTGCTGGGCCATCGCCTGTTCAAAGAGGGCCCTCCTGTTTTCATCACACAAGAGGAGGCTGACGCTGCCGCTGCCGCTGCTGAAGCTGCCGCAGCCGCTGCTGCTGCTGCTGCTGAAGCTGAAGCGGCTGCTGCTGCTTCTGCTGCTGCTGTTGCTGCTAACACGGCTGTTCCTGCTCTTGCTGCTGATGCTGCTGCTGTTGCTCCTGCAGAAAATGTGGAAGTGGTGGTGGAAGAAGCAAAGGCAGAGAGTGCAAGAGGTGCTGCCAAAAGTGTTGCTAAATTCGAAGTTAAAGCTGAAGCTGCTATTGAAGCCGCTGAACCGCCTGCTACTAGTTCTGATGGTCAAACTGCTGCTGCTGTTCCTGTAGAAGAGACGGTGGCAGTGGTGGTGAAAGGAGCAATGGCGGAGGCTGCAAATGGTGCTGTGAAGAGTGCTGCAACACCCGAATGTGAAGGTGCCGAAGCTAAAGCTGACGCTGTTGAACTGCCTGCTGCTAGTTCTGATGATCAAACAGCTGCTGCTGTTCCTGTGGAGACTTCGGCAGTGGTGGGGGAAGTAGTGAAGGTGAAGGCTGCAAGCAATGCTGCCAAGAGTGCTGCTAAATCTGAAGCTGAAACAGAAGCTGCTGAACCTATTCAACCTGCCACTACTTCCCATGATCACACAGATTCTACCGTTCGCATGCCCCCTGCGTTGAGAGGTGAAGGAGTGGCAGGGGCAACAGGGGCAACAGGGGCAGCAGATGCAGCAGAGGCAGAAGCGGCAACAGGGACAGGAGAGGCAGCAGAGGCAGCAAGGGAAGACGAGGCAGCAGGAGCAGAAGAGGCAGCAGCAGCAGATGTTGCAAGAGTGTCTGCTAGTGCTGAAGCTGGTGCTTCTGCCACAGAGCCTGCTACTACTGCTGATGAAACCAGAGCTGTTTCTGCGGCTGCTGCTGTTTCTGCTGCGGCGGCTGCTAATGATGCCTCTGCTGATGGCGCTGCTGCTGCTGCAGATGGTGGTGATGCATCAGCGGTCCAGGAGGCCCCATCTGGCAAAGCCGGAGCATCTGAGCCGTCCGTTAGCCCAGAACCAGCATCCGAATCCGTACGATCTGAACCACCACCCTCTCCCACTTGTGAAGCCTCTAAGGCTGACAGTGTTACAGCACTCAGTGTGGTAACCAGATTTGGTGATGTTAAGTCGCGTGCAACTGGTGTTGACTTGATACTAAAGTCGCCTATCGGGAGTCCCAATAGTAAGGAGTTATCACAAGGTAAAGTTACAGAATTATCACGAGGAAATCGTAAGGAGTCGCAAGGTGATAGGGATTCGGTGAGCGGCCTAGCTGCTATCGGTGGCTTGAAGGCTTTAGTGAGGGTGAAGGCAGAAGAACAGGAGGAGGGGGGAGTGAAGGGGAGAGGAGGAGAGGAAAGTGGGGTGGAAGCAAAGGAGGGAGGGGTGAAAGCGGAGGAGGATGGGGAGGGAGTGGGGAGAGGAGAAGAGGATAAGGTGTTTGTGAGGAGAGGGGCTGGAGCGAAGGAGAATGAGAGGGTTTACAGGAGGCGAGGTGGCAGGGAGGCGGGTAGGAAGGATTGTGAGGGCAGGGAGGGGGGCAAGGGGGAGGTGAAAGGGGAAGAAGAGAGCAATAGAGGTGGCGTTGGTGAGGGTGAGGAGCGTGGAAGGAACGAGGGGGAAGAAGAGGAGGTGAAGGAAGAGGAGGAGGTGAAGGAGGAAGAGGAGGAGAAGGAGGAGGAAGAGGAGAAGGATGCTGCTGTGATTGACTTAACCGACGCAGATCCATGCATCCCTGCTCAACACGACTCAGTTACTCTTCCTCAAGAAACCTCAGTCACCGCCGCTGCAAAAGAAGGCTCGGCCGTCGCTGCTAAAAAGGTTTCTGTTGCCGCTGCTGCTAAGGCAGATTCGAGTTCCCGTCCCACTCGCCATGGCATGAGCACGAGAACCAGGTCGGGCAGTCTCCGCCCTCCTCCCGCCTCCAAACCTGCGCCCAAGCCTGCTTCCAAGCCTGCTGCCAAGGGTTGCAGCAAGAAGGGGAGAGCAGCCGATGCTGCAGCTGCTGCTGCTGCTGCTGCTGGAGGGGAGGGGAGGAGGAAGGCAAAGAAGAAGGCAAGGCCGGTGTTCCTGCCACCTGTGTGTGGCGAGTTCGCCACGGCTGCTGTCTGCCTCACAGATTTTACAGCTCTCGCGGTGAGTCACTTGATTATGAGGAGCTCCTTTCTTAGGAGGAAGGCAAAGAAGAAGGCAAGGCCGGTGTTCCTGCCGCCTTCGTGTGGCGAGTTTGCCACTGCTGCTGTGTGTCTCACAGACTTCACTGCTCTCGCGGTGAGTCACTTTGCTCTGCGGAACTTCTTTTCTGGGTGCCTCACGAAAGGTCCTGCCGGCCGTTTTTCTGCTGCCTGCGTGTGGTGTGTTCGTTCGCCACTGCTGCTGTGCGCCTTGCATACAGACTGACTTTTGAGTCGACTCAAAAGTCACCTTGCCGGCCGTTTTTTCTGCTGCCTGCGTGTGGCGTGTTCGCGGCTCGCCAGTCCTGCATACAGAACGGACTTCACTGCTGCTGTGTGTCCTGCATACAGAACGGACTTCACTGCTGCTGTGTGTCCTGCATACAGAACGGACTTCACTGCTGCTGTGTGTCCTGCATACAGAACGGACTTCACTGCTGCTGTGTGTCCTGCATACAGAACGGACTTCACTGCTGCTGTGTGTCCTGCATACAGAACGGACTTCACTGCTGCTGTGTGTCCTGCATACAGAACGGACTTCACTGCTGCTGTGTGTCCTGCATACAGGACGGACTTCACTGCTCTCACGTTGAGCTGGGTGGAACTTGGTTGGAACTTCGAGTGCCGTTAGCCTTTTAGGCGCCTTTTGAACTTCATACCTGAAATTGATTCCCCTGTGTGTTTTGACTTTTCAATAGACACGGATAATATGCTTATATTCTTTGCCTGATTCGGATCAGCTTATTTAGGTGTCATTTCCTGCTGCCTTTTTTGGCGTGGCTGTATTTGCAGGACGATCTCAGTGCCAGTGTGCATAACGCGAATCAGCTTATAGCGGATCGTTTGGCAGAGGAGGCCATTCCTAAAGTGGAGCTCGAGGAGAAGGTGAGGGATGGGAGAATACCATTGCATTACTCACTCTGTCTCTTTCTCGCGCTCTCATTGTTACTCTTAAGAGTCACTTCACAAATCGCTTGGCAGAGGAGGCCATTCCTAAAGTGGAGCTCGAGGAGAAGGTGAGGGATGGAATTGCTCCTTCACCCGTTCACTCCCACACTCACCCTCACCCTCATTCTCACTGAACCTTCAAGGCAATACAGAAGCACTTCAGAATTTATGCAACGGTTACCTCAGCAATCACCTCCATCCATTGTACACCTTCCCTTCTCTTCTCTTCTCTTCTCTTCACTTCACCCCCCCTTCTTCTCCCTCCCCACTACGCAAAGGGGCAGCAGAGGTGAGCTGGGTGACTTTTGAGTCGACTCAAAAGTCACCTCTTCTCTTCATTTCACTTCACCCCCCTTCTTCTCCCTCCGCACCAGCGCAAAGAGGCAGCAAAGGTGAGCTGCGCAGCTGGCAGCACAGCTAGCAGCAGCAATGGCAGCAGCAGGGCAGTACGCAGGGGGGTACGGCGAGGGGCGGGTGACTCGTCTGTTTCACCAACTCTCCTTCCATCTCCTGACTTGTCTCTTTCCCGCGCTCTCCTTCCCCCCTTTTTCTCCTATCAACAGCGCAAGGAGCGGCATGCGAAGAGGCAGCAGAGGCAGGCGGCGCAGCTGGCAGCACAGCTAGCAGCAGCCATGGCAGCAGCAGGGCAGTACGCAGGGGGGTACGGCGAGGGGCTGGCATCTCGTCTGTTTCACCAACTCATCTCCTGGCTCATCTCTCCCCTACACCCCGCCCCACTCTCTCAACAGCGCAAGGAGCGGCATGCAAAGAGGCAGCAGAGACAGGCCGCGCAGCTGGCAGCACAGCTAGCAGCAGCGATGGCAGCAGCAGGGCAGTACGCAGGGGGGTACGGAGAGGGGCTGGCCCTGGGTCGATCGAGACGGGAGAGGAAGCCTGTCACCTACACCTTCGGTGCGTGGCCTTCTTCCCACATGCGGCTGAGCCATCCCGGTTGTTGCTGTTCATGTTCCTTGGTGTGTGGGGTGGGGTGGGGTGCTGTCCTGAATGCCTGGGGGGTACGGAGAGGGGCTGGCCCTGGGTCGATCGAGGGGGGAGAGGAAACCAGTCACCTACACCTTTGGTGCGTGCACTCCTGTTAATCTTCCATTGCTGTGCGGGGTATGGGGAGGGGCTGGCTGTGGGGTGCTGTCCTGAGCACCTAGGGGGTACGGCGAGGGGCTGGCCCTGGGTCGATCCAGACGGGAGAGGAAGCCAGTCACTTTGGTGCACCTACACCTTTGGTGCGTGCATCTTGCATTGCTGTGGGGGGGATGGCTGTTGGGTATGTGGTGTGTTCCTGGGGGGTACGGCAAGGGTCTGGCTCTGGGTCGATCGAGACGGGAGAGGAAACCCGTCACCTACACCTTCGGTGCGTGCATACCTGCTTTGTCGCTGTTATTGCTATGCCATTCCCGTTGGTGCTATGGTGTTTGAGGAGGTTGTGTACTTGTGAGTGAGGGGTATACTTGTAATGTCACTGTCACTTCATTCTTCAACCCCTTCATTTTCCGCTACATTTTCCCCTCCATCCCGCCCTTCTCCATCCCCCTAGTATCTCCTTCACCTTCCAGCAGTGGATCGCTCTAAAGAAAAATCCAGAATGCGATGGCATTCCACAACCTAAGCTTAGAGCGATCCACTGCCATCACTCTAAAGAAAAATCCAGAATGCAGTTTATGTGAAGCTTAGGTTGTGTCTGGTCGACAATATCTCCTTTCCCTTCCTTCCATTCCGCTCTCCCCCCTGCCCCCCTCCACCCCTTCTTCCCCTTCCTGCTTCCCCCATCCCTTCACAATTCCCGCTTACCTTGCCTTCCCCTTCAGATGACTTTGATCGTTCTATCAACGATGCCATCACACTACCTTTGGAAACCCAGCTCACAACTTTTTTCCTTCCCATTCCCCCTCCGGTTTTCCTTCCCATTCCCCCTCCGATTTCCCTTCCGCTTCCCCCTCCCCTTCTCCTTCCCCCTGCAGATGATTTTGATCGTTCTATCAACGATGCCATCACGCTACCTTCCAAATCCCGTGAGCTTCCTCCCGAGCACGCCCCCACTCGCGAGGGCCTCCGACAGCTGGCAGGGCGGCGCGTTTTGTCTGCTAGCGGTGATGCGGTTGGTAGTGGTGTTGGGGGGGACGGAGGGGAGGGTGGTGTGGGAGGAGGGAGGGGAGGAGAGGGGGAGGAGGGAGAGAGAGAAAGGGGAGAAATCAAAGCAGGAGGAGAAGAAGGGGAAAAGGCAGGAGGAAGAGAAGGGAAAGAAGAAGAGGGAGGAGAAAGAGGAGAAGAGGAGGATGGTTTGAGAGTAGGGTCATCTGGGGAAGGTTCATATGGGAATGGAGAGATGGAAGAGAAGGGAGGCAAGAGCGATGATAAGGATAGTGATAATAATGATGGTGATAGTAGTGATGGTGATTGGAACGAGAGTGGTGATAATACAGGGGATGGGAGTGATGGTGATGAGAATGGTAGGGCATGGAAAGAGAGGAGGGAGGAAGGAGGAGAGGAGGGGAGGGGGCGGGGAGAAGGAGGGGAGGAGGGAGAGGAGTATGATGAGGGGGAGAATGGGCGGGAGAGTGGGGGTGAAGGGGGAGAAGAGGAAGGAGAGGGTAGGAAGTTAAGGGTGAAAGGCGAGAGAAGAGAGGGTGGCACGGAGAACAGAGAAGGGAAGGAGGGGAGAGAGGGAAGAGTAGAGGCGAAAAGGAAGGATGGAGGGGAGCAGAAGTTGAGGAAGAGACGATTGAGGGAGGGACGGCGAGAGGCGGATGGGGCAATGGATGGGTGCTTGAAGGGATCGGGTGTTTTTGAGAATTCTCAAAACCACCCTGCAATGGATGGGTGCTTGAAGGGATCGGGTGTTTTTGAGAATTCTCAAAATCACCCTGCAATGGATGGGTGCTTGAAGGGATCGGGAGGGGACGGGAGGAAGCGGCGAAAAGGAGGCTATGTTGGTGGTTATAACGAGGATGGAGTGTTGGAGAAAGTTGAGGGCGAAAAGGGGGGGCAAGAGGAAGGGGAAAAGAAAGGAGCGGAAAAGGAGGGAAAGAAGGTGGAGAGAGACGAAGAGAGGGAAGAAAGGACGGCGGAGGAGGCAGAGGAGGGGGATGAGGACGAAGGGGAGGGGAAGGAAGAGCATGGGCTTGAGAAGAAGAAGCAGGAAGAGGATGGTGGTGGTGATGAAGAAGCTTATAACGAGGATGGTCAAAGAGAGCCGAGGAAGGGTGAAGCGACGGGAGGAGGGAAGGGAGTGAGAGTGGGGACGAGCGTGAGGAGGAAAATGGAGGAGGGATTGGATGGGGGAGTGGATGGGGGAGTGGATGGGGGTGGGGAGAGAAGAAGGAAGGAGAAGAGAAGAAAACCTGAAGCTGTATTGAGGAGGCCAGCCGATGTGACTGGGTTAGAGGCAGAGGACGGGGATGGAAGGAGAAGGCTCAGGAGAAAAGGCGGTGGCGTGGTGGCTTTTGAGTCGACTCAAAAGCCATCCGATGTGACTGGGTTAGAAGCAGAGGACGGGGATGGAAGGAGGAGGCTCAGGAGAAAAGGCGGTGGCTTGGTGGGAGGGGAATTGGGGGGGAATGAGGGGATGCAGGAAGGGGGTGGTGGAGTGAGGGCAAGGACGAGGTGGGGAGGGAGGCGGCCTGATGGTGTGTCGTTTAAAGAGGAGGAGAGTGGGGAGGAGGGTAGTGGGGAGGAGGTAGGAGGGAAGAGTGGGGAAGAGGAATGGAGCGCAGAGGAGGAGGAGGCAGAGGCAGGGGAGGAGGAAGGGAGTAGGAAGGGATTGGGAGAGGTGAAGAGGGATACCCGTGGGAGTTCGCAAAGGAGGGAGGGGAGGGAGGGGAAGGAGGGGAAGGAGAAGAAGGAGAAGAAGGAGGGGAAGGAGGGGAAGGAGGGGAAGGAGGGGAAGCCTGAAGGCGTGCATGCAGCAACTGGGCGAGGAGGAGCGGAGCGGGACAGGGCTGACAGAGAGAAGCCTGTTTTGGCCTCGAATATCCAGCCCTTGCGGCTGCTCAGGTGGGTGGGCTTGGAGTCGACTCAAAAGTCACCTTGCGAGGAGGAGCGGAGCGGGACAAGGCGGACAGAGAGAAGCCTGGGTTGGCCTCGGATATCCAGCCCTTGCGGCTGCTCAGGTGGCCTCTCCTCTCCCCTCACGTGCTGCCCCTCAGATTTGAAAGAGTGTGTACAGCGAACAGAGGAGTGGAGAGTGGCAAGTGTGACAGAGTGATGCCTGGGTTGGCCTCGAATATCCAGCCCTTGCGGCTGCTCAGGTGGCCTCTCCTCTCCCCTCACGTGCTGCCCCTCAGATTTGAAAGAGTGTGTACAGCGAACAGAGGAGTGGAGAGTGGCAAGTGTGACAGAGTGATGCCTGGGTTGGCCTCGAATATCCAGCCCTTGCGGCTGCTCAGGTGGGTGGCGTCTCCCTTCATGTGCTGCTCTGCAGTTTGGGGGAGTGCTTGCAGCAAACTTGTAACGTAGCGCCCTTCCACATCCTTCCAACACCCGTCTACTCCCTTTCAACCCCTTCAACCCCTTCAGCTCCCTCTCCTTCCCATTGCTGCCTACCTGGCACCGGCCCAAGAAAAGGCGGAGTTTTGAGGCGCCTCAAAAGTCTACTTTCTTTCAACCCCTTCAGCTCCCTCCCCATCCCATTGCTGCCTACCTACCAGGCACCGGCCCAAGAAAAGGCGGAAAAGGCGGAGCTATGCAGATATCTTGGAGGAGGACGGGGAGGAGGAAAGGCGGGAGGAGGGGGTTGCGGGTTAACGGCTTGTCACACCCTTTCAGCACCCTTTTTGAGGTGCCTCAAAAAGAGAGGCGGGAGGAGGGGGTTGCGTGTTAACGGCTTGTCACACCCTTTCAACACCCTTCTGCGTCCTTTCATCCCTTTCCATTTATCTCATTGTTGCTTATCAGGCACCGACCGAAGAAAAAGCGGAGCTATGTTGATATCTTGGAGGGGGAAGGGGAGGAGGAGAGGCGGGAGGAAGGGGTTGGGGAAGGAGGTATGGAGGAAGGGAACGGGCAGGGGAATGGAGAGCCTGGGCAGGTGAAAGCAGAGGGAGGGCAGGTGAAAGAAGTGGCAGGGCAGGAATTAACAAACACTGACAAGAGGGGTGAGAAAATCGGTTCTAGAGCAAAGAGGAGAGGAGACACAGGGAAATCAAAGGGTGTGGAAGTTAAGGGTGCGATTATCAAGGCTAATGGTGTCGAGAGTAGGGAAACCAGTCCTGGTGATGGCCTAAGTGATGGTGGTGGTGCTGGTGCCAGCAGTGGGGATGGTGGTGGTAGTGCTACTGCTGCTCATGGCGCTAGCGCTGATGGTGCTGCTGCTAATGGTGCTCCTGAAGCTAATGCTTGTCCTGGTGATGCTAATAACGAGGACAGCGTTGGGGATGTGGAGGGAGAGATAGTGTACTATGAGGAAGAGGAGGAGAGTGTAGTGAAAGAGAGGAGAGAAAGAGGGGTGGCTGGGAGGGTACCAGACGAGAAGGGGAGAGGGCGGGAGAGGGTAAGGGCGAAGGAGAAGAGAGGGAAGGATGAAAAGGGCGGAAAATCGGACAAAAGGCATGTTAAGAGTGGTGTTGTTTCTTCTGGTATAGAGATACCTGGGGTGAAGGAGCATTCAGAGAGGCTAGTAGGAGGAGAGGAAAGAGAGGGGGGGACTGAAAAGAGAGAGGAGGAAAACGGGGTGGAGGACGAGGAGGAGGATCAAGAGGAGGAAGAGGAGGAAGAGGAGGAGGAGTATGTGGTGGGATCTCAAGGCAGGAGAAGCAAGAGAAAGAAGGGGTCGCAAGTTGCACGGAGCAGAGGGACACAGAGGAGCACAGAGGGACACAGAGGGACACAGAGGAGCGTGCGGAAAGGAGGGGAGGCAGGGAAGCGCAAGGGCGAAAGAAGGATTGGGGGAGAAGGGAGGAGGAAGGCAGAAGGAGGAAGGAAGACGGAAGGGAGAAGAAGGGTGGGAGTGGGTAGGCAGCAGCAGGGGGGTGAGAATGGGAGGTGGGAAGGAAGAGTTGCAGTACATTCATTAATTTCCTCCCCTCCTTCGGGTTCGGGTTCTGGTTCTAGGAAAAGAAGAGGCGGGGTTGGTGAGGTGGCTGCTGCAGCTCCAGACGCAGTAGCTCCTGCTGCTGCTTCACCCGTTCGTGCTAGTGCAGGTTTTGCACCTGCTGCTGCTGCTGATGCATCAGGAGATGAAGGGACGCCGACAGGAGTGAGGCGCAGTGGCAGGAAGAGGAGGGAGAGGAATTATAGAGACCTAGTGAATGCGAATGATGGGGAGGAATGGATCTTGTCTAGTGAAGAGGAGGGGAGGGGTAGAGGGGCAAGAGGAGCAAGAGGGGAACGAGGGGAAGGAGGAAAGAGGAGACGGATAGGAGGAGGAGGGGGTGGGGGAGAGAGGCGGAGGAGGGGAGGAGGAGGAGGGGTAGGAGGAGGAGGAGGTGGTGAAGGGATGGGAGGGGGAGGGGTAGAAGGAGGAGAGGAGTTTGGAACAAGAAGAAAGTTGATGGTGAGTGGGCAGGGTGTGCAAGTGGGGGAGGGAGTAAGAGAGGTTGAGGTGGGTGGAGAAGGTCTGAGTGCGGTTGAGGGCAGTGGAGAGGGAGTGAGTGGGGCTGAGGGTGGTAGAGAGGGGGCTGAGGCTGGAGAGAGGGCAGAGAGGAGAGAGGGGAGGGAAATGGGGAGAGGGGAGGAGCAAGGCAGTCCCACAGGTGACAGTGGGAGTCCCAAGTGGGCGGGCGTGAGGAGGAGGAGGACCCAGCATGCAAACACTCATGCTGACACTCACAAGCACGGGCTGGGCGAGTCACAAGGTTGATGGCTTGCTAAAGCTGGGAGGGGAGGAGCAAGACTGTCCCTCATCCCGAATGCTAGTCAGTCCCACAGGCAACAGTGGGAGTCCCAAGTGGGCGGGTGTGAGGAGGAGGAGGACCCAGCACGCAGAGACTCATGCTGACAGTCAGACGCATGGGTTCGGCGACTTGAGACCTTAATGGCTTAGAGGGAACTTTGACTAGACCCAACCTTGAAGGAGGAGGAGGACCCAGCACGCAGAGACTCATGCTGACAGTCAGACGCATGGGTTCGGCGACTTGAGACCTTAATGGCTTAGAGGGAACTTTGACTAGACCCAACCTTGAAGGAGGAGGAGGACCCAGCACGCAGAGACTCATGCTGACAGTCAGACGCACATGGCGGGGCACGTGGCAGACCCTTCACAAGGTTGATGGCTTGCTAAAGCTGAGAGGGAAGGAGCAAGCGATTCGCACAGGCAACTGTGGCAGGTTCAAGTGGCGGGACGTGAGGAGGAGGAGACGCCATGCTACAGGAGGAATCACACGTTGATATCAAAAGAGTAGCTTGGTTGACTGAAGGTGCCTTCCGAGTGTCTACCCCGCTGAAGGCTTGGAGATGAGTTTGAGTAGACGCAAACCTGAAGTTTCAGAGGGGAGGGGAGCTCGAGGTGACTCAACTTTGAAGGTTCTGCCACCCTGCGGCGGTCCATGCTGATTCAGGTACTGGTGAAACTCAAGAAGCACAGGGAGGATGCGTTTTATCCCTGATGGCTTAGGAACTTTCGAGGAGCTGATGTTTCAAGAAAGAAGGCTTCAGCTGTGTTTGTTTTGGTGGAAAGGAAGGAAGTCTCTTCAGACTGTGTGGGAGAGTACGTGTATGCATAGCATTATGATTCGGCTGATTGGATTGTACTGTTTGGATTACAGTCCTCCATAAGGGTATCATCTGCTCAGCTTGTTGAGCAGGTTTCTGTGCTATTCATGTGCTTTATCAATTCGGAAAGTTAATGGTGATGCTCAGTTTTGTATGGATATCTAGCCATGTGGTTTCATTCAGAATAAAGGCATTCCTGTGGTGATTTGGCTGCTGAATTAATCTTCGTCAGAAACGACTCTTCATTGTAACACTGTTCGTAGCGCGTACGCGGTACAGTGTACATCCAACAAAGCGCCTGGGTAGAAACCGATATTACCCTGCCCACGAAGCAAGACTAGCTAGCTGGCTTGTATCTTCTTTTAGACATCCATGTTTCTGTCGTCTCAGAAGACCGCGGCGTACGTCCGTTATTCTACTTTCGCGAGTGTTTGATTGCCGGTCCCGCTGGTTAGGCGCGCTTTAACCCCACACGATCGAGCCGTGTCGCGATTCGCGAATCAATAACTGAGAAATCGAGATTCGATTCGAGATGGAGCTTCTGAGGGACAGCGACGAGTGGGCTGACGTGGAGCCATTACCGCAGGACGACGGTCCGGATCCTGTCGTGCCGATCGCGTATTCGCGCGAGTTCGACGACGCCATGGGCTTCATGCGCGCCGTTCTCGCGTCCGGCGAGCGCAGCGCGCGCGTCTTGCGCTTGACGGAGCGCGTTATCTCCGTCAACGCCGCTAGCTACACCGCCTGGCAGCTCCGACGAGACGTTCTCGCGCATCTTCTGTCGTTAGCCGAACCGGTTGCCATGTCATCGAAGCCCTCGTCCACGTCAGCGGATGAGAATCGAGCGGACGAAGGGGATTGGCTGGTTCAGGATGAGGTACTTTACGCTGAAAATGTGACTCTATCGAATCCCAAGAATTATCAGGTGTGGCACCATCGCCGCTGGTTGGCTGCTCTTCGCAAACATAGGGTTACCAGACGCGAGGAACAGATGGAACAGCAGCAGCAGCAGCAGGAGCAGGAATGCGCTTCAAGCTCACCGTCCCCGTTACAGCAAGTTTCGTTACGGTCGATAGCTGAGGTGGCACTGGAGGAATTTCGTTTTTGCGAGGAAGCGTTGCTGGGAGATTCAAAGAACTACCACGCGTGGTGCCACAGGCAGTGGGTGGCCAGGGAATTTGACACGTGGCATGGTGAGCTGGCGTTCTGTGAGAGGCTGCTGGATGATGACGTGCGCAACAACTCAGCATGGAACCACAGAATGTTTGTACTGGAGCATCTTATAGCGAAGCAGAAGCAGGGAGCAGAACAGGTGGGAGGAGGAGCCAATCAGGAGAAGGGTTCCGAAATTAGGGTTACACCAGTAACAGTGGAGGATGAGGTGGCGTTTGCAGTGACCGCCATCTGGCTTGCTCCGTCCAATGAGAGCCCTTGGCGGTATCTCCAAGGGCTGATTCGCCTGCAGGAGAAAGAAACAGCAGGTGTGGGTAAGGAAGGTGATCTGAAGCTTCTTGGAATCTGCGTGGATGTGCTGGCAAGTGAACCGGAGTGTGTGCATGCGTTGGCAACTCTGCTTTCGGTGCTTGGTCGGGGTTGCATGTCTGATAAAGTGGGTTTACTTTTAGGGTTGAGCCAGGATGATGCCAGTGTTGGCGCGCCTATTTCATGCACGGATGCAGCTGTAGCAGTGTGTGAGAAGCTGCAAAAGGTGGATAAGATTAGGTGGCGGTATTGGGAGATGAGGAAGAACCAGGTCGTTGGTGTCCGTGGGCAGTCAGATTGATTTAGAAGTTTTGCATAATAAATAAAGTCGATTCTGAAATGAGAGATGCTGTGTTATAGATTCAATATAACCCTGGCGCTAATGATTGCTGTAATGTGCATGCTTCGTTATTGGAGCAGAATTGTCATGATGGTGGGCGACAAGCTTTGTACAACCTCGGGTTTTTGCGAAATTCGGGGGGGCGAAATGTGACAGAATGTCAGGCACGCGATGCGGACTGGTGGTGGCAGGCAGAGCCACAGATGTGCCAGGCAGAACGATTCAGGCGGGACAAGGGTAACAGCGATTCGGTCGCTGTAGTTCATCAAATCAGTGTTTCGTGAGGCATGCGTTCCTCTTCGTCAATCTTGTCACGTATTTCGCCCAATTCCTTCCCTCACCAGGATCACAAAGAAATTGAAACACGCGATTCGAGGCATGCATCCATGATGGAAGGAACACCAACACCGTGCAGGTGGCATGGTGCAGGTTCTCTCTGCGCACTTCAAATGCCTTTTATTTTACTCGTGGAAACACTCCGCTCGCATTGAATACCTGTTATTTCTCTCGTGGTGACACGTCGCTGTTCTCTTTAACGAGCGGGCAATATATGCCCTACTAGGTGGCTGGTGAATGTGATCGAAGCCGTTTGTAGAGAATCTGGCGGGAAGGTTTCGAGCCATTATGATAACGGCATCGGCGGATCATGCACCGATTTGGCGATACCCAATTCGGCATAGATTCTTTACCGTCCTTTTGATTCTCTCGGCGCTGAATCTATGGCAAAATGCGGTGGCGGCGCCACGTGGCATAAGATTGTGGGGCGATACGGGTCAGCTCCAGAGTCATCCACGTCAAGTGGGAAATGCGCGGGGCGGCGAAACCAGCCTCGAGCGGGCACTCGCTCTATATCGGGTACAGCGAGACACGAGCTTTTGCACTATATCGGGACTGTGGGTCATTGGTAATGCCTGAAATAGCTCTTTCGCCGACACTCCCTTTCCCCTGCCCCTTACTTCGTCCTCCCCCCGCCCCCTTCCTCCCCCCCCCAGGCGTGGACCGACTTGTACGGGCTGGCAGCGGGTTCCGTCCTTCCCCCCTCTCGCATCGCCCTGCCGCCCAACGTCCCTCCCGCGCCGCATCTGGAGGACTGCGCGGCGCGCACGGCGGAGCGCCTTAAAACGGAGATGCGCGGACCCAACGGGGAGCCGCCGCGATGGACGCGCGCGCGGGGCGGGTGCTGGTACCCGCAACCCCCGTGGGTGGGTGTTGGGGGGAGGGGGAAAGAAAGGGGGAGGTAGGGGGAGAGTGGAGGTAGGAGTGTTAGTGGGGTTGGCATGGTCGCGCGCGCGAGGCGGGTGCCGGTACCCGCAACCCCCCTGGGTGCGAATTTGGGGGAGGGGGAATGCGGAGGAGGGGGTGGAAGGGGGGACGGGAGCGGATAGGTCCATGGGTAGTATGAAGCACTTTGATTTGGTCAATGGTCAATGGAGGCATGTCCTCTTGGGATTGGAGTTCCCTCCTTGCTTTGTTTCCCACCCTTTCATATCCGCCCCCTCACCCTCAACTCAACCCCAGCATCGCCTCGTTATTGCCATCCCCGTTATTGCCTCTCTCGCTCTCTCAGGTGAGAGGCTCAGATGCTGCCAACCTGGCAGCGACCCGCCAAGCACAGGCCGACATCTGGCGACACCAGTTTCCCAACCAATCACCGTCAGCTGCCACCTCAGCAGCTGCCACCTCATCAGCTGCCACCTCAGCAGCTGCAGGATCTCCATCTCAGTCTGAATCAAACCCAGTCTCATCCACGTCAGCCTGCTCCGGGCGGCGGCTCTTCGTCGTGGATTGGCCGAAGAGGAAGCACGGGATTGGCTCTCAGCTAAGCATCATGAGCGCTTACTTAAGCCTCGCGCTGACTCACAACCGCACGCTCGTTCCCACGCCCGGCACTTACTTAAGAGCCAATCATTCTGAGTGTCTAGAGGCTGGGAACTTAAACTCGTTTGACTGTTATTTCTTCCCATTGGTTGCGAGGAGCTGCGAGGAGCGAGTGAGGGAGGTGATGAGGGGAGGAGGGGAGGCTGAACGGGGGGTGGGGAGTGGGGGGCAAAAGACGGGAGAGGGGGAGGGGGAAGGAGCGGCAGGGAAATTGGATGGGGCGGATGGGGAGGAAGGGAGAGAGTGGAAGGGGGCGTGTGCGGATCACAGCAACGTGCGGGCCTTGCTGGGCTCGGATCGACCCATCGTGAGGTTCTGTGGGAACTACCTGCACCTGAAATACGAGGCCGGCGCTGCCAGGTGAGACATGCACAGTATACAGTAGCGGGTATGTACGGACAAAATCCATGAGTACAGTATCTGTAGAAGTAGTATTTAAAGTCCTTTCATGCCACGTCATCACCTTTTCTGCCACGTGATCACCATCTGCCACGTCATCCTCTGCCTGGCAGGTTGTGGGGGTCGGCATACCTGAGGCGGCGCAACAGCATCGAAGTGAGGGGGAGAGTAAAGGCCTCGGTGCCGAGGCTGCAGCAGGTACGGGAATGGGAGGTGCGGGAGTAGCAGGTACGGGAGTGGGAGGTACGGGAGTGGGAGGTACGGGAGTGGCAGGTACAGGAGTGGCAGGTACGGGAGTGGCAGGTACGGGAGTGGCAGGTACGGGAGTGGCAGGTACGGGAGTGGCAGGTACGGGAGTGGCAGGTACGGGAGTGGCAGGTACGGGAGTGGCAGGTACGGGAGTGTCAGGTACGGGAGCAACAAGTACTGCTGCCACCACTGCTGCCACCATAACTGATACCCCTTCCCAACATTTCCCTCATTTCTTTTCTCCCTCCCTTATCTTCCTTTCCCCCCACACCAGGTGCACTGGTGGCGTGCCCAATCGCTGCGCTTCATGCTGAGGTGGCCATCGGCGTACCTGTGCCACGTCAGCAACAGGGTGCGGCAGCAGGCGTATGGGCTCCACGTGGCAGTGCGGATAGAGGAGGCCAGAGCGGCTCAGAAGAAGATCCTTAATTCTCTCGGTGCTGCTGCTGCTACTGGTGCTGGTGATGCCGCTGCTGATGCTGCTGCTGTTGGTGTTGATGGTGGTGATGCTGCTGCTGCTGATGCAAATGCTGTTGGTACTGCTGTTGCTGATGCTGCTGCTGATGCAAATGCTGTTGGTACTGCTGTTGCTGATGCTGCTGCTGATGCAAATGCTGTTGGTACTGCTGTTGCTGATGCAAATGCTGTTGGTACTGCTGTTGCTGATGCTGCTGCTGATGCAAATGCTGTTGGTACTGCTGTTGCTGATGCTGCTGCTGATGCAAATGCTGCTGGTACTGCTGTTGCTGATGCTGCTGCTGATGCAAATGCTGTTGGTACTGCTGTTGCTGATGCTGTTGCTGATGCAAATGCTGTTGGTACTGCTGTTGCTGATGCTGCTGCTGATGCAAATGCTGTTGGTACTGCTGTTGCTGATGCTGTTGCTGATGCGAATGCTGTGAGACTGGATGAGACTAGAGTTGCGCAGAAAGAAACTGCAGCAGCAACAGCAGCAGCAGCATCCACGTCAGCAGTGTCCACGTCAGCAGAAGCAGCAGCTGCCAGCGTGGCTATCAATGCCACGGAGGAAGCAGCTTCCCTGCAGTCCATCTCCTTCCTCGATACAAGCAGCCTCGCTACAAGCATATGGCCTTCTATCGGGTTCGCTGGTTGCACCCCTAAAGATGATGATAACAACGAGGATGGGGTAAAAGTGGGAAATGAGAAAGAGGGAGAAGAGGGGGAGGATGAGGAGGAGGTGTACAGGAGAGTGGGCAGGGAGGTGTATATGCCACGGCCGGGGGTGAGTGTGCATGTGCGGCAGGGGGACAAGCAGAAGGAGATGAAGCTGAGCTCGTTCCGAGCGTACATGCTGCATGTGCAACGACTGAGGCTAAGAGTGCCAGACGTTCATTATGTGTGGCTCAGCACTGAGATGCAGGTGAGGGGGGTGTGAAGGAGGTGCCAGCAGGTACAGGCAGAAGGAGATGAAGCTGAGCTCGTTCCGAGCGTACATGGTGCATGTGCAACGGCTGAGACTCCGAGTGCCGGACATGCATTATGCAGGTGAGGTGTACAAGCAGGTACATGAGCTTCAGTTGAGCTCGTTCAAGGCGTACATGCTGCACGTGCAGAGGCTGAGACTCAGGGTCCCAGATGTTCATTACGTGTGGCTCAGCACAGAGATGCAGGTGAGGGGTGAGCAGGAGGTGAGAGGGTGCAAGTGACGTGTGCAAGGAGGTGCAAACCGGTGCAAGGAGGTGGAAGGAGGAGAGGGTGCAACTCAGAGTGCAACGGCTGCACATGCAAACATGTGCACGTGCAACGGCTGAGACTGAGAGAGCGGGACGGGGATGTTCATTATGTTTGGCTCAGCACTGAGATGCAGGTGAGAGGGGTGTGAGGGATGCAAGTGAGTTGTGCAAGCAGGTACAAGGAGATACAAGCGGGTATACATGGGTACAAGCAGCTGCAAAGAGGGTTTGGACAGTCAGTCAGTCAGTCAGTCAGTCATTGACGATTCGGACAGCTACAGCGATTGGATTAGACCTTCCTCTACAGCAAGAACAAGCAAGCAGTCAGTTACCTCGAAGCATCAAACAAATTGCCCCCTATGTTCCCACTCCCTCCCCATCCCTCGCCGTACAGTCGATAATTGACGAGTTGGGCAGCTACAGCGATTGGACCTTCCTGTACAGCAAGAACAGGCCCCAGCTCGGGTCAACCCAGATGCTGGAGTACGAGATAGCAGCGGGGCTGGAGCAGCTGGTGGGGGTCAGCTTTGCTAACCGCCTCTCTTCTACTCCCTCCGATGCTCCCTCACTTTGCCCTTCCCTCTTCTTGCTTTTTCCCTCCCTCTGCTACCCCTCCCATTCCTCACACCATCCGTACAGTCGGTAATTGACGAGCTAGGCAGCTACAGCGATTGGACTTTCCTGTACAGCAAGAACAAGCGCCAGCTTGGGTCAACTCAGATGCTAGAATATGAGAAGGCAGCGGGGCTGGAGCAGCTCGTGGGGGTCAGCTTTGCCAATCTGCTCATCGCTTCTGAATGTGATTTCTTTGTCGGGCCGCTCGGGTCGAACTGGAACCGGCTTATCAATAATTTGAGGGACACGAACGGGCGGGTGAATGCAGGGTATGTGGCTCTGAACACTGGTGAATGGTGAACGCTTGGATTGTCAGGCTGTGTCAGTTAAGCGCTGCCGGTGTTGTGTGGGGTATATTGGGCGAGTGAGTGCGGATTATGTGGCTCTCAACTCAACACTGCTGAATGGTGAGGGGGATTGTCACCATCAGCAGCACACAGGAGCGGCTAAGACACTTTGCCCTGCCTCGCTTGGGTCTAACTGTAACCGGCTTATGATATCAATAATATGGGGTGTATTGCTCTCAAACACTGGTGAATGTGGGGTGTTTAGTTCTCAACACTGGTGAATGATGAGCATCTGAATGATGTGAAGTAGCGGAAAATCCCACTGAGATTCTGGGTTTGCCTAGGGATTCTGGGTTACGAGTGATGGTGTGGTCTCATGTCATCAGGATTTATTTCTGGTCAATATACAGCACTAATCCATAACCTAAGAGCGTATTCCTATCCTCGTATCAAGAAAACCTCATATCAAGATTGTACTTTTTTGCCTGGTAAAAGTAGCGAGAGGTTTTGGGTTTAGGGAAATTTTCAGTGGGAGGTTGATATGAGGTTTTCTTGATACGAGGATAGGAATACGCTCTAAGACATACGAGGTAGTTAATATTGCCAGTTATAACACGAATCAGAGCATCATATGATGAACAGCATGTGAGACTGACTGTGGTTGTGACTTCCAAGAGCCTGCAAGCAAGAACCAAACGAGAGGAACTAAGGACAAGCTCAGCCATGGACTATTCACAGATGTTTGTGACTAATCACAGCAATTCATTGTGATTGTAGAGAGGTAGTCAGCCAGTAAATCCTTGAGAGCACACCCACTAGGGATGCACCCACTCCGACCAGCAGCTAAACCTCGCCAGCTTGTACGGCAGTAATGTGCGCCACGTGGGGATCCCTTAGCACAATCCTCGATAAAGAGGGCATCGGAGATCGTTCATGGCAACTTAGCACAATTCTCCCACCAATATCCAACTCATTACAACGCACCTTGTAAACAGCGGCAATCAAGCACAAATTCAGAGGAAGGACGTGACGTAAGTCGGGAGCTCATCATATGATTTTCAGATCCAGTTAACCTGTAACGAAGCTGCGATGAACGCGGAAAGAAGGCACGGGAAGAAAGAAAAATAAACACCAGAGAAATGTGGTAGCCACATTCGTGAACCAGTACAAGGGTCATGTCCCGTAAGCAATCGTCCGGCCAGCAGACAGGGACTGCGGCAGGATAGCGAGCCACGAGCGGTGATTATGCCTAAGAGGGCCTTCGAACTCCCCCCAAGACCCGCCGTTCTCGCTTCAGGGAACGGGTCGACAGGTGACTGAAAACACTAGCGACCAACTTTTATTGAAGCTTAAAATCAACGATGGAACCAGGGCCGCGTGAACAGTTGACGTTGAAGAGAAGCAGCGATCAGAGAACTTTGAAGACGTTAGATGCGTTGAAGCATCAAGGCCACAAGTGGCTCAACGCGAGAAAAAGAATCTCCTCATATCGCTGCGAGTGAAATCGAACGGTTGACGAGGACCCAGAGTAGTAAGAAAACCGAAAACCAGGCACTAGAGCGCACCTTCGAGCTCAGTGAACTTCTTCCGTGAGTCACCGAAACGGGGACTCGTCAGTACTGTCGTCGCCATTGATCCGGCCCAACCAAACGATCAGCAGGGCCAGCAAGCCCCGGCCACCACCGAAACATTTCTGTTGCAATGAAGTGACCGAACCTCTGATGTAAGCAAAGGGCGGATGGAAGTATTGCGTGATCTCCACCACGATCAGACAGAGGAAGTTTAGACATGTCACAGAAAGAATACTAGAAAGGTCCACTCAGACAAATTAACGTGAGTTGGAAACGAATAATTTTCTTCAGCGCTGCTTAGCAGCTCGAAGCGAGCTGGGTATATATCGAGTCATCATAGTGGACCAGCACAGGTGTGACAAGCGAATCAAAGACACAAAGCAAACGTGGTACTGAAAGAAACAAAATGTCGCCGACACAGAACGACGACGATGCTGTAACTGAATCACGGAGGAGGCTCAGACCCTTAGATTCCGCCATCAGACTTGCGCTCAGACAATAAGGATTGTGATCTATAGATATCATCACCGCCTCCTCCAGTAATCAGCACAACGTGGCTCGTCCACGAACAGTTGCTACCAAGGAGAAACGATTCAATGTAGCCATATACGTACCGAATAAAGGTATGATTATCTTGGAAATCGAGTTGAACATTTGCCTTCGATTAGAAACCAAGTGCAGGATAGATGCGAAACTCGTTGCTTCATTACCTGCTCCAAGCGCCAAGAGGAAGGAGGAGCAATAGGGTGTCAGAAATGGCGGGTTATATCAGGGACCAAGCTTCGAAAACGCTTAAAAGGGAACATGGTAGAAATATGACAACTTCGAATTGTACATGTGGGGAACGATTATTCGCGGGCTTTCAGCGGGATAAACCCTCGGCCGACGACTCAAATTTGCTCTGCCTCAGTGTGCGCCGTATGGGGGCCCCCATCGCCAATCAAATCAAACCCGAGCGACAGGGGAAAATACGGCAGATCGCGTTATTATCTCGAAAACAAACCGTTTACTTCTAGCACATCGGTTCCAGCTTACAATGACGGATGAAAGGCTGCAAGAAACAGCGGCCATGACTGCGGGTGAGAAGCGCCACCTCGCAGGAATATCTAGGAATGTTGATCGTTACGCAGCAGAAGTGGATGCTATGCGGAGTTAGTAAGGGTAAGGGCTGAAGGAATTATTTATATGGCCGATCAATTCCGTTGGGCCCATCTGCCTTCTGTGGAATGAACGAGGTGGGTGGGAGGAGATTTGTTGTTGTGGATAGACAAAACCAAGTGACAACTGGCTGAAAGGAGGACGAGGGGTTCGGGGGACGTCGAGATGCTTTTCGGGTGTTGCTGAATGACATTGCCCTGATGGTGGAACTCCATATATGCACTTGAAGGAATGCAGATGGAGGTCTGAGTCAGCTACATATTTCTTATGTATGTGCAACTGCCCCTAAAATATAGATTGGTGTTATATTGGGTGTCCGAATTTATTATGTCTTGTTTGTTCATAAACCGCTTATAGTTGTATTTCATGCTTCACAATAGATATCTGATAATGCATTGCATTGAGTATTGCTGCTACTGCTAGAAAAGCTGGGTATCTTATATTCTGTTGCGTTTGTACGTTACTACGGATACCTGACATCTAATAGGATCTGCTTATTGCGAACGCGTCCAGGAATGAGTTATAGGTCACAGTTTTCCTTCACCAGCTTCAATTTTTCGTTTCATTCATGGCTAGCTACTGTCCCCCCAACACGGCTTCTTGCTGTTGTCGCTGCTCGTGCTGTCTCGCTTTATGATCTAGGTAGCACGCACCTTTTGCTGGTGATTCACCGAGCAGGTAGTACAGTATATTGTTGCCAGCTTTCCGTGGCTGGTTTCTTCGCACGTGTTTTGTAGGACTGGAGGAGTCTTCTCTCGTGCACATTTGGGTTTCCAACCGTGCAGCTGGATTGCAAGTCTTGCTTGATTTGCAATTTAGGTTTCGAAGTCCTGCTCGATTTCAGCCATGGATATTCTATCGCGACAGTACGGCAGTGACGAGGAGGGAGGGGAGGATTCTCCGCGAGAGAAATCTACGATAACAGCTTCTCCGCCTCGGGAAAAACACTCTTCTGGTACTGGTACTGGGGTTACTGCTGACAAGACAGCTTCACGAACTGCTCAGGAGAATGATGATAACGATAGCGACGATGACAATATGGCGTACAGGATTCTCGCTCCCCCTAGTTCTGCCGCTCCACCAGTGAGCGACGCGTTACTCGCTGCTGTACCACGTGATATTATGACAGCTCCCATCGACCCGTCGAAACGGAATTTGCAATTCAATCCGACTTACGATCAACTGTGGACTCCTGTAGTGGGGCCCGCGCATCCTCATAACGTGGACGGCCGCGCGTTAGGGTTGCGAAACCACCGGCTGGGATCCGTCCAAGACGCATCGGTGGACTCTTTTGTCTTCGATGAACAGTACCACACGTTTCAGGCGTACGGCTACAGTGTTGACCCCGCAAGTGTAAACGGGACCGAGGTTGTGGGTGATAAAGAAGCGGTTGACAATAAGGCGGGTGCTACAGTGTATAATGTGTCTAAACAGGAGCGGGAAAAGCGGGCTATGGCGGTGAAAGAGGAGGAGAGGAGGAAAAAGGCGGAGGAGAAACAGAGGAAGGAGGAGGAGAGGAAGAGGAAGGAAGAGAAGAAGAGGAAGAAGGAGGAGGAGAGAGCGAAGAAGGAAGAGAAGAAGAGGAAGAAGGAAGAAGAGAAAGCGAGGAAGGCTGCAAAGAAGAAGCGGAAGGGGGAAGGTGATGTGGGGGCAGAGGTGGGAGCGGAAGGGGAGGAGGGAGCAGGAGGAGAGGGGAAGGGGGAGGGGGAAGGGGAGGGGAAGAAGCGAGGGCGGCAAGGGAAGGGTGTTCAAGAGGAGGAGAGTGAGGGAAGGGCAAAGAAGAGCAAGGAGGAAGAGAGAGAAGAGGAGGATAAAGAAGAGGAAGAAGAGGAGAGTGAGGAGGAGGAAGAGGAGGAGGAGGAGGAGGAGGAGGAGGAGGAGGAGGAGGAGGAGGAGGAGGAGGAGGAGGAGGAGGAGGAGGAGGAGGAGGAGGAGGAGGAGGAGGAGGAGGAGGAGGAGGAGGAGGAGGAGGAGGAGGAGGAGGAAGAGAGCGAAGAAGAGGAAGAGGAGGAAGAGAGTGAAGAAGAGGAGGACGAGGAAGAGGAGGCACCAGTAGAGGAACTAGCCAATCCGGCGTCAGAATCCTGGCTCCTCAAAAGCTCCAAATCTCCCTGGGCAGGCAAAAAAGAGGAGCCCAAGGCTGAGCTGACCGAGGAGCAAAAAAAATACGCGGAGGAGCACGCTTTGAAGAAAGCCAAGAAGGAGAGGGGCGATAAGGAGGAGGTGGAGGAGAAGAGCACGTTCCATGGGAAGCAAGAGAAGGACTATCAGGGCCGCTCCTGGATTGCTCCGCCTAAAGACGCCCTTAATCCCGTGCCGCCCACGCACTGCTATATTCCGAAGCGGTGGATTCATACTTGGAGTGGGCATACCAAGGGTGTCAGTGCCATCCGGTTCTTCCCCAAGTGAGTATTGCAGGTGCAAGGCAAATCCTTCGTACAAGGTGAGTTACATGAGACGCCTTCAAGTGGGTTCACACCAACTGGATCCACACGTGGAGCGGGCATACCAAGGGTGTCAGTGCCATCCGGTTCTTCCCCAAGTGAGTATTGCAGGTGCAAGGCAAATCCTTCGTACAAGGTGAGTTACATGAGACGCCTTCAAGTGGGTTCACACCAACTGGATCCACACGTGGAGCGGGCATACCAAGGGTGTCAGTGCCATCCGGTTCTTCCCCAGGTACGGCCATCTGCTGCTGTCTGCGTCAATGGATACCAAGATCGAGATCTGGGACGTACCAAATACCCAGAAGTGCATGCATGCGCACATACATGGGTCACTACAAGGCCGTTCGAGACATCTGCTTCTCTTCCTCTCCTCGTCTCCTCACTCTCCCTTTTTTCTCTTCTCCTCCCGCTCTTCTCCTCTCTCTTCTGCTTTCTTTCTCTCTCTTCCCCTCCGTTCTCTCCCCTCTCTTCCTCCTCTGTCCCACCAGGTACGGCCATCTGCTGCTGTCTGCATCAATGGACACTAAGATCAAGATCTGGGACGTACCCAACACCCAAAAGTGCATGCGCACATACATGGGTCACTCCAAGGCCGTGCAAGACATCTGCTCCTCCTCTCTTCACCTCTTCTCCTGAGTCTCCCTCTTACTCTTCCCTCTTCTCCTCACTCTCCCCTTTTCTTGTCTCTTTCCTTGTTCTCCCCTCTTCCCCTCTCCTCCCTTCCCTTCTTCTCCTCCTCTGTCCCACCAGGTACGGCCATCTGCTGCTGTCTGCATCAATGGACACCAAGATCAAGATCTGGGACGTACCCAACACTCACAGCTGCGCCTCTCACAATCCCCTCCTCCCTGTTTCCCTCTCTTTCACCTCTGTCCTGACTGACTCCCACCACCAGGTACGGCCATCTGCTGCTGTCTGCATCGATGGACACCAAGATCAAGATCTGGGACGTACCCAACACTCACAGCTGCGCCTCTCACAATCCCCTCCTCCCTGTTTCCCTCTCTTTCACCTCTGTCCTGACTGACTCCCACCACCAGGTACGGCCATCTGCTGCTGTCTGCATCAATGGACACTAAGATCAAGATCTGGGACGTGCCCAACACACAGAAGTGCATGCGCACATACATGGGTCACTCCAAGGCCGTGCGAGACATCTGCTTTGCGAACGACGGGTTGAAATTCGTGTCATGCGGTTACGACCGTAACATCAAGCTCTGGGACACCGAGACCGGGCAGGTCACGGGGACGTTTTCCACGGGTAAAATACCCTACGTGGTGAAATTACACCCGGACGACGACAAGCAGAACATTCTGCTGGCGGGGATGAGCGACAAGAAGATCATGCAGTGGGACACGCGGTCAGGGGAAATTACTCAGGAATATGACCAGCATTTGGGCGCGGTCAACACGATTACCTTCCTGGATGATAACCGGCGGTTTGTTACGAGCAGTGATGACAAGTCGCTGCGCGTGTGGGAGTTTGGGATCCCGGTCGTGGTCAAGTATATCAGGTACGCAATGCACCACCTCTTCTCTTCTCTGCTCTGCGCGTGTGGGAGTTCGGCATCCCGTTCGTGGTTAAGTACCCCAGGAGGAGTATGACCAGCATTTGGGCGCGGTGAACACGATTACCTTCTTGGATGACAATCGGCGGTTTGTCACGAGCAGTGACGACAAGTCGCTCCGCGTGTGGGAGTTTGGGATTCCCGTTGTCGTCAAGTATATCAGGTACGCACCTCTGCTCTGCTCTGCGCTCCCCGCCCTCTTTTGATTCGGGTTTATAGTGATATCGAGAAGTCTCTGCGTGTCTCGGAGTGTGGGATCCTGTGTCTGTTACCCTTGCTTTGCTGTGTGGATACAAGGATTACCCCTTTCCCCCTCTTTTCCCTCTGCTCCCCCTTCTGCTTCCCGCTCACACCAGTGAGCCGCATATGCACTCCATGCTAGCCATAGCAGTGCATTGCATCCCAACAAAGCATGGCGCATATGATCTCATTGTCCAACGTTGGACAACCAGATCATCGTATATGGCGCAAAGGACCCAAGGACCTTTTGGTCTCATCCTTCTCCCGTCCTCCCCCTCCCCCCCTCCCCCCGATACCAGCGAACCCCACATGCACTCCATGCCAGCCATCGCAGTGCATCCCAACAAGGCATGGGTGGCAGCATGCATGGAGCCAAGGACCTTGCTTACCTTCTACTCCGCCGTCTGCTTCCTCCCCCATACACCTTTGCTCCCCAACGCCAGTGAGCCGCACATGCACTCCATGCCAGCCATCGCAGTCCATCCCAACAAGGCGTGGGTGGTGGAGAGCCAGGGACCCTGTCTTTTCATCCTTCCCCCTTTCACGCCCCTTCCTTGCTCTCCCTACTCCCTTCCCCCGCACGCCAGTGAACCCCACATGCACTCCATGCCAGCGATCGCAGTGCATCCCAACAAGGCCTGGGTGGCAGCTCAATCCCTGGACAACCAGATCATAGTGTATGGGGCGAAGGACCGCTTCCGGCTCAACAGGAAGAAGAGATTTGCCGGCCACATCATTGCTGGATATGCGTGCCAGGTCGGTAGAGGGTGCTAGGGACAGGCTTGTGGGGACTCAGACACAGAGAGGGGGGGGGATGGGGTGGCAGCGCAATCTCTAGACAACCAGATCATAGTGTATGGGGCGAAGGACCGCTTCCGGCTCAACAGGAAGAAGCGGTTCGCCGGCGAATCATTGCAGGATACGCGTGCCAGGTGGGTGATGGGGAGAGGAGAGTGCTCAGGTGGGTGATGGGGAGAGGAGAGTGCTCAGGTGGGTGATGGGGAGAGGAGAGTGCTCAGGTGGGGAGAGGGCCTTGCAGGGCTCTGGTATAGGGCTTGCGGGAACACGGGCATAGGCGGGATGGGCTGGCAGCGCAGTCGTTGGGCAACCAGATCATGGTGTATGGTATCAAGGACCGGTTCGGCCTCAACAGGAAAGAACAGGGACAGGCATTGGGGGGATGGGCGAGGGTAAGCTGAGGTTTTTTGGCTGGAAGAATACGTGCAAAGAAAGTGCGAGTTCTTCCAGGCCCTTCGTTAGTGTCAGGCTGGTTGTCTGAGGAGGTTGATTTTGAGAATTCTGTTTGAGGTTGATTTTGAGAATTCTGTTTGAGGTTGATTTTGAGAATTCTCAAAATCAACCTCAAACAAGAAGACGTGCAAAGAAGGTGCGAGTTCTTCCAGGCCCTTCGTTTTTGTCAGGCTGGTTGTCTGAGGAGTATTTTGAGGCGCCTCAAAATACACCTCACTGCACGCGAGTTCTTCCAGGCCCTTCGTTTTTGTCAGGCTGGTTGTCTGAGGAGCGCCAACACCCATTTTATTCTCCACCTCGCTCTCCCACACTCCACTGTTTCTCCACTTCAACCCCCCAACCCGCTTCCGGACTGCCACCCCCACTCCCTCACACATCACCTCCTCGGTCAACTTCTCCTCGGATGGGCGCTTGTTGACTTTTGAGTCGACTCAAAAGTCACCTCGGACTGCCACCCCCACTCCCTCACACATCACCAGGTCAACTTCTCCTCGGATGGGCGCTTCATAATGTCATGGAAGGAGAGGGCAAATAGTGAAAGGCTCTTTCTCCTCTTGGTGCACTCGCCCTCTCTTCCATCCATCCCCCACCCCCACCCCCACCCACTTTGCCAGGTCAACTTTCCCCTCGACAACCTGTTTGGAATGTCAGGGGACGGCGCCGGCAAGCTGTGATTGCGATTGCCCAACCACCACACGCACCCCGACACGCTGCCCCCACACCCTCCCGCACACACCTCCCCACCCCATCCCGCACACACCTCCCCACCCCATTAGGTCAACTTCTCCCCCGATGGCCGGTTCATTATGTCGGGCGACGGAGAGGGCAAGCTGTGGTTTTGGGACTGGAAGACATGCAAGGTGTTCCGCACCCTCCCCCACCCCATCCTCCTTCCCCACCCCACACCAGGTCAACTTTTCTCCCGATGGCCGCTTTATTATGTCGGGGGATGGAGAGGGCAAGCTGTGGTTTTGGGACTGGAAAACGTGCAAGGTGTTCCGCACAGTCAAGTGCCATGACTCGGTGTGCATCGGGTGTGGGTGGCTCTTCTGCCTCTCAGGAGCGCCACCAACGGTTTTGAGGAACGCCCACACCCTCTCTGTTGCCCTCCTTCCCCCATTCCCCCACCCGCTCCCCGCCCCCGGTTCTCCTGTTGATGTCCCCCTCCCCCTTTCCCGCACATCAGGTCAACTTCTCTCCAGATGGCCGCTTCATAATGTCGGGGGATGGAGAGGGCAGGCTGTGGTTCTGAATACCCCACCCCATCCTCCCCCACCCCCACTTACGATTCCCCACACCATTAGGTCAACTTCTCTCCCGATGGGCGCTTCATAATGTCGGGCGACGGAGAGGGCAAGCTGTGGTTCTGGGACTGGAAGACATGCAAGGTGTTCCGCACAGTCAAGTGCCACGACTCGGTGTGCATCGGGTGTGAGTGGCACCCGCTTGAGACCAGCAAGGTGGCTACATGCGGCTGGGATGGGCTCATCAAATACTGGTGAGTGTTTTTCCAACTGTAGCAATTGTTTTACTGTAGATTGCGTGTGTTGCTACTGTGTAGTGGTTCTTGGGTGTTCCGCACGGTCAAGTGCCACGACTCGGTGTGCGTCGGGTGTGAGTGGCACCCCTTGGAGACCAGCAAGGTGGCCACATGCGGCTGGGATGGGCTCATCAAATACTGGTGAGTGTTTTTCCAACTGTAGCAATTGTTTTACTGTAGATTGCGTGTGTTGCTACTGTGTAGTGGTTCTTGGGTGTTCCGCACGGTCAAGTGCCATGACTCGGTTTGCATCGGGTGTGAATGGCACCCGCTTGAGACCAGCAAGGTGGCTACATGCGGCTGGGATGGGCTCATCAAATACTGGTGAGCGTTTTTCGTAGTGTGGTGGATTGGTACTGTACTGTAGATCATGTGTGTTGTTACTACAGAGGTTGTTTGGGTGTGCCGCTCGGTCACGTGCCTTGGCTTGGTGTGCATTGGATGTGAATGTGTGGTTGGGATGGGCTCTTATACTACGGACCATAGCGTAGTGGTTTGTTACTGTATATAATGTGTTACTAGAGTGCTATTTATGCGTGTTCCTCATGGTCAAGTGCCATGCAAGGTGGTCACATGCTTTAGACCACCTCTGTTTTATGCTAATTGAATGTGGAGTGTCTTCTCTTCATCACTGTAGTAATTGATCTTGGATGTGTATGTGGCTTTGCATCTTGTGTGAAACAGGGATTGACAAACCTTCTGCGGGATGAGGGTGGAGTCAACTTTCTTAGTTGGCCATGTCACGTATGATGCTTACATTCGTCCAGATTGTTGCTTTTGGAGCTCCGGTTCTGCTGATTTGAAATATGCTGTGAGAGATGCTCAAGTTTTCGATTCTTGTGTGGAGCTCCAGTTCTGCTGAGTTCTAGTATGGTACAGACAAACACTGGTTATGTAACTGCATCAGGCGGCTTCCTTCGATTTCACTGAATTTTGATCTTCATGTTTAACCCACTTGTAAGTTACTATTCATCTATATATTATCTAGGTTGATTCTCTCCACATTTAGACAGTGTATTGCCAAGCTGTTCTCTCGCACCTGTGTGAATCTCTGTCGTTTGCCGGAGCACGCGCATTCCAGCAGGGCATTGTGTTGCCGCCGCGCGCCTCATTGGAATGCGCCACCAGTGCCAGTGAGGGCTGCAGAGACTACATTCCGCAGCCTACCTTGGGAATTGGAAGCAATTAAAGGTATCCACGTGGAAAATGATCCAATTGCATAGCTCCAGCTAAGTTGTGTGACGCCATGTTTGGCCAGCCGCATACAGCCCACACATCGGTCCTCCGCGCGCGGTCCATGCACTTTTTTCCAAAGACCCGCTCGCCTCTCTGCACTCCGCGCGCGAAGCCCTCCGCATCAGGAATGTCTGCTTCCCCATCAGCGCGCTCAACTTTCCGCCACTCCCCACTTCTCGTTTGCGCTGCGCCCAGCGCGACTCGACCACCCAATCCCACGATATTTTCGTAGCGAAGATCTCTGGGGAATTCCCACTCCGAACTCGCAGCAAAAATCCAGTAGTATTTATTTTGATCCGACTCTCATATTATCAATTATCCCGAAGGAACATATTATTCTCCAGCGATCGGTCTCTTCTGATTCTTTCGTCCGAACCTCCTACATCCTTCAGCCTTTCCGAATTCGGCTGTGTTGTTCTTCTCGTTCGGTCGCTATCGCCTGGTTGACTCCGCTTCAAGTGTTTCATCGCCATGGCGTCTACCATCGACCAGCTGAAGAACCTTCCCATCACCACCGACGATATCATCGCGGAATATGTCTGGTGAGCTTTTTGAGAATTCTATGACGAATAGCAGTCTAAATTTTGGTCCCAATGTCAGCGTTTGCTTTCTCCATCTGACACTCCTTGAACGTCGTCGTTTCCTCTTCGCAGGATCGGAGGATCTGGAATTGATGTCAGGAGCAAGGCCAGGGTAAGCCTCCTGCCGAACATTTCTATTTCATAACATCCCGTATAAAGCATCTATAAAGGGTCTGTTCGTTTCATGCCTGCCGCCGAACATGTTTAGTTCACAGCACCTTGTCTCGTTCAAGATTTTCAACAGAACCAGCACGCAGCAATGGTCATTTCATGCCAAATCCCGTTTCTGTTTTACTTCTTCCTGCAGACTGTGAAGGGTCCCATTGGTCCCGCCGACGTCGCGAAGCTTCCCAAGTGGAACTTCGATGGTTCCAGCACGGGCCAGGCTCCGGGCACCGACAGCGAAGTGATCCTCTAGTGAGTCCCGCCGCCTCCCGTTCGAGACATCTCTCTTTACTCGCAACTTTCATTAGATACGCTTCTCATTACCGGGTCGATGCGAAACTACGGCTAGTAATAGCAAACAAGTAAACGTATTTCATCCAACTTTTCCTTCACGTTGTCTTCGACGTTCTGATGTGCGGGCTTGTGACTTGACTCTACTTTTCTGTCTTGTGCTCATCTGATGTCTTATGCAGCCCCCAAGCCGTGTTCAAGGATCCCTTCCGTGGTGGCAACAACATTCTGGTGAGAAGCTGTTGTAGTATTTCTAGGCCCTGTCACTGGTGCTTACGCTCTCCCTTTCGCGTTCGCTTCTACGCTTCGCTTGCGCCACACCCTGTTTATGCGAGCTCCGCTGCCCGCCGCCACTTGCGACTGGTTCTCCATTGAGTATCTCTCTACTTGTTGAGTCGTTGTAAAACTATTCTCTTAAGCACTTGTTTTGTTGCTCCTGTCGTCGCTGCCAGGTCATGTGCGACTGCTACACGCCACAAGGCGAGCCCATTCCCACCAACAAGCGCGCCTTCGCAGCTGATGTGCTGAAGAAGGTCGAGGACCACGTGCCCTGGTACGTCCCGTCTTCCCAACTCCCATCATGACATTTGAGACGACCTATTCGTTGCCTTCGCATGTGAAGGTCAAGGACCACGAGCCCTGGTACGTCTTTCAGTGCTTTCCCAGATTTGGCGTTCCTATTTACGTTCCGTCCCAATAAGCGTTCCTATCTACGTGCCTTTCAAATGCCACTAATCCCAGTTTTGCCAGGGCATTGCGCCTCCACCATCCGCGACTGTTCACGTGCCTGTTCACATTCTCGTGCCACGTCACGTCCATATGCCTCCTCGCATTACCTCTTCAGCCGCCCACGTGATGTCAAACCGTGTCGTCACCCATGCCTATCCCTGCCTCGGCATCCCCGAACCTCCCTCGCAGGTTCGGCTTGGAGCAGGAGTACACTCTCCTCAAGAAGGACGTCAAGTGGCCGCTCGGCTGGCCCACCGGCGGCTACCCCGCGCCGCAAGGCCCGTACTACTGCGGCACGGGCGCAGACAAAGCCTGGGGTCGCGACATCGTCGACGCGCATTACAAGGCGTGCCTGTACGCGGGGATTAAGATCAGCGGGATTAACGCGGAGGTGATGCCGGGCCAGTGGGAATTCCAGGTGGGCCCGTGCATTGGCATCGAGGCGGGCGATCATCTGTGGATGGCGCGGTATCTGCTCGAGAGAGTGACGGAGATGGCTGACGTGGTGCTTTCGCTGGATCCCAAGCCGATCGAGGGTGACTGGAACGGCGCCGGCTGCCATACCAACTACAGGTCGGTTGACGCTCTCGCCTGAAACTTCCGTTTTCCCTTTCTTTATTGGAACAGCTTCGCTTTTTTAGGCCAGCTTTTCAGCTTTCCTTTACATATTCGTGGTTGCTGATTGGTTTCGTTGTTGTGGTGTGTGTACCAACGGTCTTTATTCTTCCGTGCAGCACGAAGGCGATGCGCGAGGAGGGCGGGTACGATCTGATCGTGAAGGCGATCGAGAAGCTGGGGCTGAAGCACAAGGAGCACATCGCCGCGTACGGCGAGGGCAACGAGCGCCGCCTCACGGGCAAGCACGAGACGGCCGACATGAACACCTTCTCCTGGGTACGCCGCTCTTCTCTCCTTGGCTTTTGAGTGTCTTTTGAGTTGCCATCGCGTACGGCGAGGGCAACGAGCGCCGCCTCACGGGCAAGCATGAGACGGCCGACATGAACACCTCCTTCGTATGCCGCTCTTCTTTTTTGTCGTCCCTTGAGTTGCTTATTTTAGCATGATGAGAGTCCTACAGCAGTTCGAATGACAATCCATTTCTCATCTTCACTTTCTGATCCTTCTCCCTCCTGTTTCCCTCCCTCCCTCCCTCACTCAATTCCTCTCCCTTCCTTCAGGGTGTGGCCAACCGTGGCTGCTCAGTCCGTGTGGGTCGCGACACAGAGGCGGAGAAGAAGGGTGAGCTTATTAATCTTGTTATTTCCATATTATGGATAAAAAGCAGCAAACTCCTGAAACGTGCTTTGAAACCATCCTTGATGGAAACTAACAGATACGGTGATCTAACACGTTAGTTCCATGTTTTCTTGCTCCCCTTACCAGGTTACTTCGAGGACAGGCGGCCATCGTCCAACATGGACCCGTACATCGTTACGGGCAAGATTGCGGAGACCACGATCCTGTGGGAGCCTACTGGTACGCTTTCAGTTCATTCCACAGAGCTTTAGCTGGATCAGCAGTTTTCATGGAATGCGTTGTTTCCGTATTTCTCATGTTCACATTCTTATGCGCCTCTGTTTATTGTGCTCCCCAATCTCGATTTATCCTTGCCTGACTGTGCAGCGTAAGCATCCCTCCACTCATAGAAGAGCGCATTACAACGGTTTTAGTTTGTTAGGACAGGCCTCGTTAGCAAGGCCCTGTTTGGCGGTCTGCTCTTGTATTTGTTTCCACCCTTTTGGTCTGCTATGTTATGTAATCATCACATATGAATGTATCTATTCTGTCAAGTTCTCACAGCGGATCTAATTACATTGCCCTAATGAATGCAATTGCCACCCAGACGTGGTAGGTCCACACAACCAGTCTCCCACTATCTTTCCCAGGTTTCTGCTCATGTCCTCTATTATATGTCATGTTACATACACCATGCCTCAGGTTGCTGTATAACTACTCTAGACTAACAGTGAAACAACATTATACACACCATTCATGTCTGATGGCATGATCATTCCCAGATGACTGACAACGCATCCAGCCTATAACCCCTCAACTACTAACCACGCACCACGGGCAAGACCCAAGAGCCAATAGAAAAGAACGTGCCTGTAAGCCAGTTCACATCAAACATCCTTGTGAAAGTGGACGTCAGAGGGCCAAGGAAACCCATCATCCCCCCCGACCCCCCTAGCCTGCTCCAGCCTGTCACTTCTCACTACTCACAACTACTGCTGCCCACGCACCAGAGAAGAGAACCAGGAGCCGACAGAAAAGAACGTTCCTGTGAGCCAATTCACGTCAAACACCCTTGTGAAGGTGGACGTCAGAGGGCCAAGGAAACCCATCATTCCTCCCAGCCCCCCTCCTCCGCTTGCACTGCTGCTGCTGCTGGTAGCGGCAGTTGGTGGGGAGGGTAACTGGGAGGGCACCTGGGTGGGAAGGTTACGGGTGGTGGAAGTTGCAGGAAGGACGACTGGCGAATCCCCTGTGGCAGCAGGGCGGGCCCTGGTGGATGCCGAGGCAGGCACAGCAGCAGCAGTGGAAGGGAGCCCCCTTACGGGTGTTGACACAGGCACGGCAGCAGGGCGGGCCCTAGTGGATGCAGAGGCAGGCAGAGCAGCAGCAGTGGACGGGCGGCCTCTCATGGCTGCTGAGACAGGCACAGCTGCAGTGGAAGGGAGTCCTCTGGAAGATGTTGAGACAGGCAGAGCAGCAGCAGAAGGGAGTCCCCTTACAGGCGTCGAGGTAGGCACAGCAGCAGCAGTAGAAGGGCGACCTCTCATGGGTGTTGCGACAGCTACAGCAGCAGCAAAGGGGTTGCCCCGGGTGGGTGTTGAGACAGGCACAGCAGCAGGAGCAGAAGGACGGGCCCCTAGAGTCGTGCTACTGGCAGCAGCGGGGCCTGACACACCCGCGCTCATCCCTGCTGCAGATGTAGCCACGGTGGCAGGCACTGTTCCAAGCAGTGATGCAGGGACTGCAGCGGCCACTGCTGCAGGTAAAGTGGCAGGCACGGATGTTGCCACTGCTGCAGGTACAGTGGCAGGCACGGATGTTGCCACTGCTGCAGGTACAGTGGCAGGCACGGATGTTGCCACTGCTGCAGGTACAGTGGCAGGCACGGATGTTGCCACTGCTGCAGGCACAGTTGCAGGCACGGTTGCAGGCACGGTTGCAGGCACTGTCCCCCGTAGAGGCACCGTGGTCACTGCTTGGTTACCACTTGACTGACTGACCACAGGGGTAGACAGAGGCCGGGTTGTAGCAGGAATTGTAGGAGTAACCTGAGTGCCCGTGGTAGCAGGAACTGCGGGCGTGGCAGTGCTTCTTGCTGCAGCACCAATCCCTGCTGAAACAGGCGCCGTGGGTGTAACAGGCGTTCCAAGCGTAACTGGGGCAGGCGTAACAGTGGCAGATGTTACAGGTGCTCTAGGGGTAACAGGTGTTGTGGATGTAACAGGGAGTCTGGGTGTTACAGGGGCAGGTGTTACCAACGGTTGCTGCTTCGCTTGTGGGGGAGCGAGTGGCATCGACGAACGGGATGATGACGTGGAGGCCTGGCGGGCGGCAGATGCCGGAGGTGTTTGGCCAGGTGGAGCACGGGACGCTGCCGCCCGTGCCGCCCGTGCTGCTGCCGATGCTGCTGATGCCGCCGACGCAGCTGATGCCGCTGAGGCTGCAGATGCTCGAGATGCTAGCGATGCTGCTGATGCTGGTGGTGGCGGTGGCGCTGCTGTTGTGAGGATTCCTGTGGATGAGAGCGTTGGGAAAGAGGTCGAGAGAGAGTGACGAGGGGAGTGAACAAGGATGATCCACAGTTGAGCAAGATGTTGTGGAAACGGGAGACATGGGTGGAGGTTGTTGGCGACCGGAAGGAGTCACTGCTGAAGAAGATGTTACTTTTGAGAGTTCTCAAAAGATGTTATATTTCAGAATTCTCAAAAGATGCTACTTCTGAGAATTCTCAAAACGAGACATGGGTGGGGGTTATTGGGGACAGGAAGGAGTCACTGCTGAAGGAACAAGGAACCGGGTACAGGGTCAGCCTCAACGAACTCCCGCGTTTAGACAGACAAGCATACTACAGACAGGTAAAAGTAATGAAGACTGCTTGTCTGTACAATCGAGACAAGACGGGGAGACGCAGGAGACTCGTAACGCTTTCCTAATGACTGACAACGACGACGTACCAGTGAAGCTGACCACAACGAGGCAGCACATGAACACCAGCAGCGGCCGGTGGGAAGGCCCAATGATCTGTGTGGGCGCCATCAGACACGCTCTCTCCGCTTGCTTCCGGATCACCGTCGTCACGAGCTTTAGGAGGCAAGCGTCACGGTCACCACGAGATCTTGGTGATGATCGTAAAAGCTCGTCACGGTCACCGCGAGCTCGACAAGTGAGACGTTCCTTGCCTGGATGATGCAATGAGACGACTCTTTATCCCCTCCTGCTACGAGTCTGTCGGAACGAGTCGTGTTTCGAGGCGACTGAAAAAACGACGTTCCTTGCCTGGATGTTGCAATGAGGCGACTCTTTATCTCCTCCTGCTACGAGGCTTTCGGAACGTTAGACAGCAGCAGCAGACTCAGCAGTGAGATATTCGTTTGGAACCCAGTAGTTCAACCCAGTAGCTCAGCTCAGATCACGATTACTAGCTCTCACAATGATCCTGATTATCATTACTCACGCTGGGTCCTTTCTTAAATAAGAGAAGTGCTTCACAAAGGGCGGCGAAGCACTCCGATTAGGAATCCGCGACGCGCGGTTATTTTCTCTGGTGTTTGCTACTAGCAGCCTGGATGCGTGATTTCCAGCCATTGATACGAGCCCGTCGAGCCGCAAATGCGCACAGATCGCTAGTTCGTCCACGAGGCTGCGGACACAAGCTGGCGAAATGGCGTCGCGAAGAGTGCGCCCTGATTACAGTGGCTTGATTGGCACGTGATCGATTGTAACGGATTGAGCCGAATTGTACTGACGTAAGTACAAATAAACCCACGCTTCGCACTCCATTCGTTCTCAACCCATCCTTTGCCTGTGTACGTCGCAGCAGGCATTTCCAGGCAGGCTTGAATCGCCATGGTTGTTGCACACTACCAGTGGTCATTCCAATGAACGAAAAGTTCCTGGGAACTGGATTGACTCGGAAAGTTCTTATGAGAAGTTGAACTCTAGAAGTTGACGAGGCATCACTAGCGGAATTCAAGACTGGCGAAGGTGCTTTTCTGAATCTGGTGGAGTTCAAGCGTTCCAGGTCATGATTGCTCTTTCCAGGCTGGCAAGAAGGCGTCAGCTGGCTGCATGGTAGCTTTTCACCACGGTGACTATGGAGGAGCAAGAGAAACCTACAACTGATCGGCGTGTAAGGGCTGAACATACAACATTGACGATTTCAAGATTCCAGGAAGAACCTAGAGAGTTGCGAGTAGGGGGAAACAGCGGAGTCCTGTGCACGGCATGGATTGTATCGAATTGAGAAAGCCCAGGAAACGGGGGGGAGGGGAGGATAAAAAGGAACAGCCATTGCAGCAGACAATTTGAAATGGCAGTGGCGAACAAACTCCAAGGGATGAACATTGAAATGATATGCATAGACGTAATCAATCCCATCTCACCCCATCGCACGCCTTTGCAACCCATACCATCCCGTCGCATCCGCTTCCCGTCCCATCATATCCCACCACACCGCATCTGACACCACTCAGTGATGGAGACGCGGGAAACCCAAATTTACGCGACCCGACTTTAGCACATGACGAGATTGATTTGACAGGGTTGAGCACATCTTCTCGGCCGAATGGGATGGGACGGGATTGGAGACCAAAATGAAACCAGTGCGGAGTGTAGCTCTACTGTAACTAAAATTTACTGTATTCAATTAGACCCGATATAATGCGACACTCGTTTGGCATCTGGCCGTTTCTAGGGATTGGCCCTTCTGCCACCGAAATGTCCATTTTCCCACCATCTCGTTCCTCCACCAGTAGCGAAAACGCATCAGTTAGCCGTTATGGTTACTGGTCTTCTTGTTGCAGGGCAAACCTGGAAGCCCCTTGGATCGCCGCACTTCGCGAAACAGTTTTTCGCCAAAACCGAAAATGGCATCTCTTTGACTCTCTGGATCGGAGAATCAGGGTGGGTGAATCAAGGCAGGTAGGTTGTTCAGAGGAGAAATCTGGGTCAGCAATTGTCCAGGAGAGAAGGCTTGGAATCTTCAGCCATACCTTCCCTGCTGTAATTTCTAGGAGAGAGAGCTCGCAGTAACACTATTTCATCGGGGATCAGGATTCAGGAAATCCCTAGGAGGCTCAACCAAGTCGTTTTTCTATTTCGAAGGAATTTCTGATCCGTTGTCCTATTTTCTGGATCAGATACCGCGATCTCGTCCTCCTGAAGCCTGCCATGGCTCAGGAGAAAGTTGATACCCTAATCCGTCACCAGTGAGAGGTGGTATCTGTAGTAATTGTTTCCCACTCACAGGTTCCTGCAGCCTGACATCTGGGATGTTGTGACGGATCATTCCGAAGAAACCGAATTTGGGATTTCCTCTTGCGTGTCGTTACGAAAAACAAGGCCATAGCTTGAGCTTCTTAGGGTACCTGGTCAACTTAGATCTAGTTCCGCGGTCACTATCCTAGTTCTAGATCCTTCGCTGGTGCTTCGATACGAGTTGACCTGCTGCGAAATCCGTCGATTTTTGTGAGTCGCAACATTCTATGGTTACGTTACGCATCGCGATTGTCCCATCAGCTGGCTAAGCGACGTTTTGACACTTTTCCTCCATTCCCGTTGACCTCGAGCAGGCTCATTGTTGTCTCGCCTTATTCTCGCTTCCGCGTTACTTTCCGCTTTCCTCTTAGGTTTCACAGAAGCAGGCGCCATGTCGGGCGCGGCGTCAGCTGTTTACATTCTGGACATGAAGGGGAGGGTTCTGATATGGAGGGATTACCGTGGCGACGTTCCTGCATCCGCTGCAGAGAAATTCTTTAACAAGCTGATGGAAGGCGAGGTACGCGATGAGGATTTAACTCAAACCATATCCATGTCCTGATGTGGATCATTACAGCATACTAATGCCTGAAGTTTACGCGGAGACTCGGTGTGTTTTTACGGCGTCGTGCAAGGTCTCATTTTCCGGCTTTTAATACCAGAGAATCCAGGAATTTATTATGGGGTCGTAATCCACGTATTCTGGCGACATTGGCTGGTCGTAGAAACATTTTTTTATGGAATTTACGGTCAATGTCAGATTGTGTGTTCGGACCTTGGGTCCTTTCTTTGTGCCGTGTTCCTTTCAGCGCAATCTCATGCTTAAATCCCCCGTAACCCATCCGTTGATCCTTCGGAATCGACGGCTTTGATTCCTCACACGCTTGCGCCTTGAACCACCTTGTTGCGTCAGGCTGACCCGTCCTCGCGGGAGCCGGTGATTCTGGACAACGGAGTGACGTACCTCTTCATTCAGCACAACAACGTCTACCTCATGATCGCCACCCGGCAAAACGCCAACGCCGCCAGTTTACTGCTATTCCTTCACAAAGCCGTGGAGGTGAGTGGGACACGGGGAGGGGTGTGATTGGGGTCGGCTGTGCCTGATGATGGGTTATGTGTGCCTGGCGATTTGTTATGTGTGCCTCGTGGTTGCATCGCATGCATCGCACATGTTTGAATGGTTTGGTCGAATGTGTCTGACGTGGATCGCATGCGTCTTACGACTCTATTGCTTGTCTCAAAGGATTTCGTCGCATGTGTCTGACGAGTGTCGCTTGCATCGGATGATCGGTTTGCATGGATTGATAATTGAGTCGCATCTGATATGCAAGTCGGATGCAGCCATTCCGTTGAAGTTTTATGGCCGGTTTTTACAACATCGAAATTGACCTTGTTTTACGGGTTCGGCTCATGAATTCGGCTTTATGCAGTGTTGACCATTAACTTCACCATGAATCCTGTGCAAAAGCTCGAACTATAGTCTGTGACGGATGGCCGCACTGATGATGCATGCGAACCTTCTTGTGCATTCCTTTTGCCGCAGGTCTTTAAGTACTACTTCGACGAGCTGGAGGAGGAGTCGCTAAGAGACAACTTCGTCATTGTGGTACGTGTTCTCGCTTGAAAATGTTTCCATCACAGAAAGCACACTGTGAAATTTTGCCTATTGTGGGTCCCCACTCTTTTCCGTTTCCGATCCCCTCTTTTTTGCTGGTCTTAAATCTGATTCGACCCTTCATCCTCCCCCCCCCCCGCCCCCCTTCCCCACCCCACCCTCCCATTCTTCCCACTCCTCCCTCTCCATCTTCTCACCCCACCCCTCCTCCGCTCCGCTCATTCTATTCACCCCATCCCCCCTTCCCCTCTCTTCCCACCCCATCCATCCCCCTTTCCCAACTCACCCCCCTTTCCCCACTCACCCCCCTTTTCCCCTTCTCATCTTCCCCTTTCCCTCTCCCGACCGCTCCCGTCCGCCGCTCCCTCCCCTCCTCCCCATTCCCCCGTTCCCCGTTTCTCCTTCCCTGTGCCAACCCCACGCAGTACGAGCTACTGGACGAGATAATGGATTTCGGGTACCCTCAATTCACGGAGGCGAAGATTCTGAGCGAGTTCATCAAGACGGACTCGTACCGCCTGGAGCTGTCCACGCCCAAGCCCAACATCGCCGCCGTCACCAACGCCGTCTCCTGGCGTAGCGAGGGCATCCGCTACAAGAAGAACGAGGTTAGCGTTTGGGGGGAGTGGGGGGAGGAGGGGTGAGCGTGCATGGAACGAGTGACTGGCCACCCGGGTCATGTAGCTGTTTCCTCTCACCTGTTTGCAAGCCTGAACATCAGATGCTGAACTGCCATCTCTGTTTTCTTATTCCTTATGTCTTTCTTTTCTTGCAGGTGTTCCTGGACGTGGTTGAGAGTGTGATTCTCAGACTCGTGCATCTGCCAATAATTTGCTTTCGTATTTTATTAAATGTCTGTCTTTATTCACAGGTGTTCCTGGACGTGGTTGAGAGTGTGAACATCCTGGTGAACAGTAACGGTCAAGTGGTGCGGTCTGAAGTCGTGGGCGCCCTCAAAATGCGAACGTACCTCAGGTAAAGGCACTAAGGGGATGGAAGAAAGGGGTAAACAAGGGGGAGTAAGGGGGGTCGAGAGGGGTGGGGGAAGGGAGGCGGAAGGGGAGGAGGGGGGGGGGGGGGGGGGGGAGAGGAAATGGGTGGGAGGGAGGGATGTGGGAGGCGGTTGGGTCATGGATATGACTTTGTTTCCTCTTGACCCTTGTGATTTCCTTTGACGTTGGCCCTCCCAGTGGCGTGCCAGAGTGCAAGCCAGGGCTCAACAATGCAGAGGCACTTCCCAGAGGACCTAAACTCGCTTCCTGCCTGAGACTTCCTGTTCTTTCTCCTTTCCCAATTGACGCATGTGATTCCGCTTCACTTCGATTCTCTTTTTATGCCGGAGTGCAAGTTGGGACTGAACGATCGAACTCTTCCTGCTCCCTCTTACACTTTATCCCCCTTTCAGTGGCATGCCAGAGTGCAAGCTAGGGCTGAATGATCGAGTGCTGCTGGAAGCACAGGGCAGAGCGACCAAGGGGAAGGCCATTGATCTGGACGACATCAAATTCCACCAGTGAGTTATCGTCTTCTCCTTTCCCTCATTTCCGCTTTGGCCATTCACAGTATAATACATACACGTGTCAACAAGCCAATTTCTTCTTTGTTTTTTGTTTTTTTCCCCTAACTAATTCATATCTTCACCAATCTTTAGTTTTTAATCCCTATAGTAGCCCCCCCCGTGACCTCCAGCGTTTCTACTGGCTCTGAATGAATGAATATGTGAACAGATAATAAATCCTGAGACAAAGTGTGCTTCTTTGGTATGCGACTTCAATGTTAAGACCATCAAGATGAAATTGGCACATGTCTTGGTGCCAAGCTTGCGCCTGCCCTGCTCTTGTCTTCCCCTGCCACTGTCCTGTTCGTCTGCCTACAGGTGCGTGCGACTGGCGCGGTTTGAGAACGATCGAACTATTTCCTTCATCCCACCTGATGGGGCGTTTGACCTTATGACCTACCGGCTCAGCACTCAGGTCTGTAGCGCCTGCATATTTTCTTTTTCACCCCTTCACCCACTCTCTCCTCTCCTGCATTCCTTCTCCTCTTGTGCCCTCCTCTCGTTCTTTCCATCTGCCCTTTCTCTCTCCCAGTGTGGTCTCCCATCGTTCTCTTTCTTGTTCAATCATGGCGTATGGGCCATGGATCTTGTTTGGTTGAGGCGATGGTTGGATAAGATGGGAGGGTCGGGGTGTTCTCCTTTCCCAGTGCGCATTACACACTCTCGTTCAATCATGGCGTGAGGGCCATGGATTTTGTTTGGTGGAGGCGATGTTGAAGCCGCGCTCACGCGGTCACCTCAGTAATAAACCATGTGTTGCATATGCTGCATGCGAACCACACACAACCACACCAGGTGAAGCCCCTCATTTGGGTCGAAGCGATGGTGGAGAGGCACTTGCGCAGCCGCGCGGACTACATGGTGAAGGCAAAGAGCCAGTTCAAGGAGCGGTCGACACACAGACTCTTCGGTTTCCAACCATGTGTTTCATACGCTGCATACACCGCACTGCACCGCATCGCACTGCTCTCCACGTTCCTGTACCACAGGTGAAACCCCTTATCTGGGTAGAGGCGATGGTGGAGCGGCACTCGCGCAGCCGCGCGGACTACATGGTGAAGGCAAATAGCCAGTTCAAGGAACGGTCCACATACAGGCTCTTTTCTTCCAACAGTGTGTTTTATTTGCTGCATGCACCGCACTCCACCACATCGCACCAGGTGAAACCCCTGATCTGGGTGGAGGCGATGGTGGAGAGGCACTCGCGCACCGAGTGGAGTACATGGTGAAGGCGAGGAGCCAGTTCAAGGAGCTGTCCACACACAGGCTCTTTTTCTTCCAACCATGTGTTTTGTATGCCGCATGCACCACACCGCACCGCACCACACTGCACATTTCTGTACCCCGCCAGGTGAAGCCCCTCATTTGGGTGGAGGCGATGGTGGAGCGGCACTCGCGCAGCCGAGTGGAGTACATGGTGAAGGCGAGGAGCCAGTTCAAGGAGCGGTCGACGGCAACGTCGGTGGAAATAGAGCTGCCGGTGCCCATGGACGCCATTGACCCCGCCGCCCGCACCTCCATGGGCACTGCTACGTACACTCCGGAAAGAGAGGCGATTCTTTGGAAGATCAAGTCGTTTCCCGGAGGGAAGGTGGGTGCCCTCGTCCCTTTGTCTCTTTCTGGTCCTTTTCCCTGTCAATTCTTCCCAAGATTCGTGTAGATCCACCCGCTGTCGGGTACGAACGCGAACAGTAGCGACGTCGGTGGAGATAGAGCTGCCGGTGCCCATGGACGCCATTGACCCCGCCGCCCGCACCTTCATGGGCACCGCCACCTACACGCCCGAGCGGGAGCCCATCCTCTGGAAGATCAAGTCGTTCCCCGGAGGGAAGGTGAGTTCTGCCTTGTTGCATCTCAGACCCTGCTGCCCGCACCTCCATGGGCACTGCCACCTACACGCCCGAGAGGGAGGCCATCCTCCGGAAAATCAAATCGTTCCAGGGAGGGAAGGTGAGCGTCCCCCCTTGTTCGTACCTCCCTTGAAGAGTACCCGTTTCAGCATGCCAAGTGTGGCAGCAGAAACTGAGTTTTGGAGGGTTTTTGTGACTCTGTACGCCCTATAATATTAAACCCTTGGATAGCCGAGTTCCCCCTCCCCTGCGCTTCACATCCCTTCAGGAGTATCTGCTGCGTGCCCGTTCAGCCTGCTCAGTGTTGCAGCAGCAGAGGACGAGTTTAGTAGTGACTGAACCCCCCTGCATTCCGTTGTTCCCTCCCCCCATCCCTGTGCTTGACGTCCCGTCAGGAGTATCTGCTGCAAGCGCGTTTCAGCCTGCCCAGTGTGGCAGCAGAGGATGAGTACAGAGGTGTCCTCAAAGCCTGATCCCCCCTGTTACGAAACCCTGTTGCATGCCTCGATTCCCCTTAAGGAGTATCTGCTGCGGGCGCGTTTCAGCCTGCCCAGTGTGGCAGTAGAGGATGAGTACAGAGGTGTCTCAAAGCCTGCTCCCCCTTGTTACGAAACCCTTGCATCCCCTTGTAATCACGTCCCTGGCTTCACTTTTCTACCTTCAACCCCACCTCAGGAGTACCTGCTGCGAGCGCGCTTCAGCCTGCCCAGTGTGGCAGCAGAGGATGACGTGGCAGAGAAGAAGGCTCCGATCCGCGTGAAATTCGAGATACCCTACTTCACAGTCTCTGGCATCCAGGTGAGAAATTCAGGGTTTCTGTCAGGTGTAAAGGTGAATTTACAGATTGTGCATACTGTTGGGTCACCTGTTGTGTGGGTCACCAAGGCTTCTCAGCCCGAGGAGGTGTAACAGTCTAACACACTGGTTGCTGATTTTAATGTCGCTTTTCAGTTCCCAATCAGATTCTCTTTCTCACACTCGTTTCTGCCTCCCATCCCTGTCGTCGCAACCTATCCCTTTCTGTTTCACGGAACTCTCTACATCCATCCAGGTGCGTTATCTCAAGATCATTGAGAAGAGCGGTTACCAAGCATTGCCGTGGGTGCGTTACATCACAATGGCTGGCGAGTATGAGCTGCGCATGATATGAAGTGAAACAAGGCTGCCTAGGCTAAATCTTCCAAGAAAAGGAGTCCTGTCGTCGTCCCATCTCATGCATCACTCCATTTAGGACAATTACTGTTCTGTATTATGTGGATCTCAGTAGCGAAGGGTTCATCTCCTACTCATACACTACCTACGGTAGGTATCATTTGTATGTTGACCAAAAGCACTTCTGAATTGAACACTGAACGAAATGCAGTAGTGATTGGTGCAGTAGTGATTGAACACTGCGAACTGCAGTTGCAGTGGTAGAGGGGACTCAAAATCAAACCAACACCATGCTACAGTCCTAGGGATTCGTCCTCGCGCTCTGCGTTGTCAGTCAGCGATTGGATATGGCGCTAGCCCGTGCCGCAGGTGAATTTCCAGATGCTGAGAGTTCAGTGAATGGCCGGATATAGCTATCTCAGATTCCAAGCAGAGTTCAGGGGGAGCATTTTCAGAAGGCAATGCTTGCAGAGGATGCGAGAGTTTTGCGAGAGCCAGCTAGAATGCTCATTTCGGATTACTTTTGTTTATCCCTTCATTCCCCTCCTCGCCCTTATCACAGCTCACAGGAGCGCATTCACGAGCCATCCCGCTACTCGTCGCTGTACCACCTGCACCCGCGTAGTGTGTGGCATCGGAATAACAATAGTACCGAATTAGCGAGATCAGCCAGTAACGAGGATGGTTACGAGATCAACCTGTGCAAGTACAGTCACAGTCAGAATCACCTTCCCTACTGTCACACCACGCACAGGCACATTCACACTTACGTGCACAGGCACAATCACAGTCACAGTCACAGCAATGGGCCGAGCCTCAGGAGTGGATGAATCCGTGGCTGAAGCAGCAGGTTCGGTCCGAGCCTGCAACGATGGCTTGGTTGGACGCATCCATGGCACAGGAGGCTCGTCTCGTACCTGCAGCGTTGCTTGCTGCCGAGCCTGACTCTGCTGCCAAACCTCTCCCTTCTAGCCTTGCTTCGGTTCCGGCTGCTGCTGCTGATGCGGATAAGCAAGGTGAGCCTTAAATAGGTCCCTGGGAAATCGTCAGTTTAGCTCATGTTTCATAAACACCCTGAGAGGTCTCAAAGGCACCATCCATACACATACCTGGCGGGCATGGGAACTCTTGACGTTCAAGACGGGCTGATACATACTTGCTGATACATGCTGATGCATACCGATACATGCTGATACCGGCCCCATCACCCACCCAGGCTCAGCGTGCTCCCCTCTCGCTTCAGCTGTGCTCATCCGAGTGACCAAAGAGTCTTACTTCAGCAGGCGCACCAGACACCCTCCCTCCAAAACGGACATTCTGGAGCTTCAGAACCACGTTATTCTCACCCGAGGCCTGCTGTTCGGCCCCAAGTATGCGTGCTGCGGTCATGCCGCGGGGCCAACGGGAACAGGCTGCTGCTCGATCTTGTCTTCTCCTCACATTCCCGTTCCCCCCGCCCCTCTTCCTCCCGCCCCTCGTTACAGGATCAGCGTGCTCCCCTCTGGCCTCAGCCATGAAAATCCGCGTCACCAAAGAATCGGATTTCATCAAACGCACCAGGCACCCCCCCTCCACCACCGTTGTTCTCGAGCTTCAAACCCACCTGACACTGAAGCGAGGGCTGCTGTTCGGCCCCACGTATGCGTGCACGGTGCTGCGATCGGGTGGTGGGGCCAAAGGGAGGGGGTATCGGCTGTACGTGCATCGGGTGGATGAGCCGATACTCCGTATATGGAACACCAGCAATGTGATTGTGCAGCGCGTGCAGGTGGGTTGAGAGGGGTGCTGTGCAGTGCAGTGCGGTGTGGTGATGTGGTATGAGGTGGTGTGCAGTGCTGTGTGGTGCTGTGCAGTGCTGCAGCGTGAGCTGCTATTTGCTGTGGCATCTAGGTAACATAAAGGGAGGGGGTATCGGCTGTACGTGCATCGGGTGGATGAGCCGCTGCTTCGTATATGGAACACCAGCAATGTGATTGTGCAGCGCGTGCAGGTGAGGCTGATGTGCTATGCTATGTCCCATGCCGGGTCGGAGATAGCATAGCATGCAGGTCGGAAGGACGTCATCTGCCCTCTCATCCATACATACCCCACCTCCCCCCCCCTCTTTTTCCTTTCTTCCCTCCTCTCATCCCCTTTTCCCTTTCACAGATGTCGCAGCCGTTCCGAGCCTACTCGCCCGCATGCCCGAAGGAGATTCCTGACGTGGGCACTGACGTCATTTGCCCTCTCATCCACGTCTACCGCTCCTACGGCGTTCAGATCGTCAAGGTGAGCCCACTTATAGCGAGTACAAAGGGGAACAAGAGCTGTGAGCAGCAGGCACTAGCAGCAGCATATGTGCTTTTGTGGGCCTTTCCTTCCTCCTCTCTGTGTCTCTATACATCCGCTCTCTCACTCCCTCCTCCCCCCCGGCCAACGCAGGGCTACACGTTTGGCCGGGTGGACATAATTCGGACCATGCACAGCCGCATCGACTCAATGAAGATGACAGGCGTGTCGGATTTCAAGAGGGGCAACGGAGTCATTCGAGTGATGCTGTCGGGGTATGGACCGCTGCTGGTGCGCTCTTACATCTACATCACCAACAATGAGGTCTACGGTAGGAGGACTTGATGGGTTGGGGTGGGGTGCAGTGTGGTACCCCTTGCTTGCTGCCACTGCATGGGGTATGGGCCGCTGCTGGTGCGCTCATACGTCTACATCACCAACAATGAGGTCTACGGTAGGAGGAGTTGATGTACTGGGTGCCGGTGGGTTGGGGTGGGGTGGGGTGTATTGTGATTGTCAGGGTACCGCCCTTCTGTATTGAGACGTCTCAAAACTGATTGTCAGGGTACCGCCCTTCTGTATTGAGACGTCTCAAAACTGATTGTCAGGGTACCGCCCTTCTGTATTGAGACGTCTCAAAACTGATTGTCAGGGTACCGCCCTTCTGTTATTGAGACGTCTCAAAACTGATTGTCAGGGTACCGCCCTTCTGTATTGAGACGTCTCAAAACTGATTGTCAGGGTACCGCCCTTCTGTATTGAGACGTCTCAAAACTGATTGTCAGGGTACCGCCCTTCTGTATTGAGACGTCTCAAAACTGATTGTCAGGGTACCGCCCTTCTGTATTGAGACGTCTCAAAACTGATTGTCAGGGTACCGCCCTTCTGTATTGAGACGTCTCAAAACTGATTGTCAGGGTACCGCCCTTCTGTATTGAGACGTCTCAAAACTGATTGTCAGGGTACCGCCCTTCTGTATTGAGACGTCTCAAAACTGATTGTCAGGGTACCGCCCTTCTGTATTGAGACGTCTCAAAACTGATTGTCAGGGTACCGCCCTTCTGTATTGAGACGTCTCAAAACTGATTGTCAGGGTACCGCCCTTCTGTATTGAGACGTCTCAAAACTGATTGTCAGGGTACCGCCCTTCTGTATTGAGACGTCTCAAAACTGATTGTCAGGGTACCGCCCTTCTGTATTGAGACGTCTCAAAACTGATTGTCAGGGTACCGCCCTTCTGTATTGAGACGTCTCAAAACTGATTGTCAGGGTACCGCCCTTCTGTATTGAGACGTCTCAAAACTGATTGTCAGGGTACCGCCCTTCTGTATTGAGACGTCTCAAAACTGATTGTCAGGGTACCGCCCTTCTGTATTGAGACGTCTCAAAACTGATTGTCAGGGTACCGCCCTTCTGTACCACCGTTCGTGGTGTTGCAGCCAGCAAATAAAAGAAAAAACGGGACGATCTTCTTCACTTATGGCATCCCCGCTTGTTCCTCCATTAGCCGAATGCCTCAAAGCAACGTATTTTAGAGAATTCTCAAAAATCTTCTTCACTTATGGCATCCCTCCCCGCTTGTTCCTCCATTAGCCCAATGCCCCAAAGCAACGTGCCACCCACCCTCCTATCTCCTGGTCATTACTTTTTCCTCAATGGTCGGTTGGGACGTGCCTTCACTCTGAAATATTTTCTCCCTCTCTCCCGTTGTCATTCCTCTCCACCCTTCTCCACTCCACCTTCCCAGGCGCATACATGCCAGTGCTGCTACACGTGGGCACGGTGGGAGCGGTGGTGAGGAACAACTACGTGCATGACTTTGTGTTTGCTGGAATCACATGCGGCAACATGGTGCACTCCCAGGTGAGGGAAAGTGCGAGTCGACCCAAAACACACCTGGCACGGTGGGAGCAGTGGTTAAGAACAACTATGTCCACGACTATGTGTTTGCTGCCATCACATGTGGCAACATGGTGCACTCGCAGGTGAGGGAAGGTGGTTTGATTTCTCTTTAGTCAACTCAAAGGTTGACAGACGTCAGGAACAAACAACCACGTGCACGTGCATGAATCTGTTTTTTGAGAATTCTAAAAAAAACACGTGCACGTGCATGACTTTCTGTCGGTTGCCATTGCCATCACATGCGGCAGCAACATGGTGCACTCACAGGTGAGGTGAGGTGCATGGAAGGTTCAGCTATGGGGAGGCGGATGTGTGGCAAGTGAGGGAGGTTGCACCTGTCTGTCTCCTCACGTGGTTACTCACACACAATGCATCCTCAAAGATTCCGTTCCTCACTCGCAATTTTTTAGGCGCCGCAAAAATCACCTGTCTGTCTCCTCACGTGGTTTCTCACACACAATGCATCCTCACAGATTTCAATCCTCACTCGCAGCTCCCCTTCTTTGCTTTCACACTGATCGCATGCTTACTTGCTTTCTCCCGTTCTTCCCTTTTCCCCATACTCCACTCTTCCTCCGCTTCCCCTTCCTCCCAGGGAGACTGCTTGCTCAGCACCATCTCGAACAACCCTCGTTGTAGCAGCAGGGCGGAACCTCTTCCTCCTCCCTACTTTCTCCCTTCCCCAATTCCCCCGTTCCCCCTCTGCTCTGTTGCCCCCTCCTCCCTCTCAGGGCGAATGCATGCTCAGCACCATCTCGAACAACCTCGTGGTAGCAGCAGGGCGGATCCTCTTCAACCGCATCATCCCCCCTCGTCCTCACTTGCCCCCTTCCCCTCGTTCCTTCTCCCCACTTCCCAGGGAGACTGCATGCTCAGCACCATATCCAACAACCTCGTTGTGGCAGCAGGCCGGAACCTCACAGGGGGGTTTGATGCCACGGGGATATACTTCGTAACGCACTGGATTAACCCGGGTAATTTGGCGGAGTGCAACTACATAATCGGGGGTGACCACTGCTACTACCTGGACTACGCCAGCTCGGGTGTGACTATACGCGGAGGGGCTTGTATCGGGACGGTGGATGGCATGAAGGTTAACAATGGGAAATGGTGAGTCAGCAATGCGGAATGGTGAGTCAGCCATGGGGAATAGTGGGTCGGCAATGGGGAGTAGTGAGTCAGCCATGGGGAATAGTGAGTCGGCAATGGGGAGTAGTGAGTCAGCCATGGTTAATGGTGAGACATGGGTGTCATGCCCCCCTATATGCGACTGCGATCCATCCATTTCTCCTCCCTCCGTAGGAACCGCATAGAGCACGTGGTGATGAAGGGCACTGGCCTGGCATTGTGTCCCCCTGTATTCCTCCGCGTTCCCCATCGCTTGCTCCTCTTGCCCCCCTGCCCTCCGTAGGAACCGCATAGAGCACGTGGTGATGAAGAGCACGCCAGGGTGGTGCACGTTCCTCACTGCCACTCGATCACCCTATATCCTCCTGCATTACCATCCCTTGCCCTTTTGCGCTGTTTTCCCCCTAAAACAGGAACCGCATAGAGCACGTGGTGATGACGGGCACGGAGGGCACGCCAGGGTGGTGCACATGTGCTTGCGTTGCTTCACCCTACATCCTACCTTGTTCCCCATCCCCTGCCCCCTTGTCTATCCCCTTGACCCCTGTTCACAGGAACCGCATTCAGCATGTGGTGATGAAGGGCACGGAGGGCACGCCAGGGTGGTGCGCGTGCATCACTGCCACCATCTGCAACTGCCTCAAGGACCCGGGCAACTACTGGGACCGCATGCGAGCCAAGTACTATGGGACTGCTGCGTTTCAGCAGGTAGCATATATCCCCCTTATAAGCCACTTCACTAATCTGTTAGTACTTTCTGCAATTGCCTCAAGGACCTGGGCAACTACTGGGACCGCATGCAGGCCACATGCTACAGCAGTGCTGCGTTTCAGCAGGTGGGTTGTGTACGCCTTATAAGCCAACTTATTGATCTGTTAACACCGCAACTGCCCCAGGTAGGTACTGCAACTTTGCTGCCTTCAGCAGGTGGGTTCTATACCCCCTATAAGCCAATCAGTAGTCTTTTGGGGCAACACTGCTCTTCGCCACTGTTCGCTTCTACCTAGTGGATTTAACTGTCTATATCCATCCAATCTATGCAACACCTACTGTCCAGTCCACTCTGCTTCCTTTGTTCTGCTCATTTGCTCCCCGTATTAAATTTCTGCTATTCTCTCCGTTTCCTGTTGTTGAATTCCTGTCGTCCAGAAATGGCCATGGATGAATAGCATTTGTAACGAGACATCTATTAACGGGGTTAAGTGTAACACAAACGCGCCAGGCACCTTAAAAGATACGGAGACAGGGAAGTGCAGTGGGCTGCCCACAAATAATTTCATCGACCTGGTATTGGTCGACGTGCAAGACGCCGACATGAATTTTCGTTACTGTGTGGAGAAGTTGCCAAACACGCCCAAGTTAAATATGCATCGGCACATAAACGTAACCTCACGCTCGGCGAAATTCTTCAACTATGACAGCAACGATCTGGGCATTATGAAGAGTTCGCCTATTTTCAGGAAGCGGCCGGGATTCAAAAGCTGCCCTAGGAAAAATGTTGGACCCAAGAAGGTAAGGGATATATTTTACCACAATAATTTTGGGATTGCTGAGCCGTTGCAGTTTGCTTTAGTCAAGTGGATGAATATTTGCCATATCCATGACCCGAGTCTAATTGATAGGCAGAGACCTAGGCTAGTGTGAGGCTATTGTTGTATTTAGGTGATTATCAGCAGCAATGTCGTCTTGTTCTAGATTCATATGCTCCCCATAATCCTTCATTAATCACCTCGCATCACTCGATTGAGGCTTGCTAATACCGGGGATTTTTGGTGATAATCATGCCTCGTTTTCAATCAAGGTCGCCTAGGTAAAGTCAATGCGAGCATGCACAATAGTCTCCACGACTAGTATTGTGCATGCTCGTATGTGCGCGGCGCTAATGCTACATGTCCTGCACCAAGTCGCGAAACATGTTGCTTGCTAGTCCATGCACATGCACTGCCGATTGCACTGCACGCTCTTCGCGTCGTCGTCTCGTCACCACAACCCTCCTCGTCAGCCGTCCTCGTGTCGCTGGCTATGGGTCAACTCCGTGTCCCCTATCGTCACCCCTATCGTGTGTTCCTATGGGTCAACTCCGCATGCCCGAGGGGTTCAGAGTCGAACCAAACCGAGCCGAACTGAGCTGAACCGAGCGGAGCCACCAAGCCCTCCACACATGGTCGTGTCGACTGAGCCTTGCGGACAGCGAACGACGCGGCGTCGCCACCGCCCAAGGAAACTCTATGGGGAATAGTAGAAATTCTGGCTTGCAGCAGAGAGGGTTTTTCCTTATCGGAGTCTGTGAACACGTCGGTCCGTCTCTCCGCCGCTCCGTCGTTCCTTTCACGTCGTTCCGTCACTCCTTAGCCGTCGCTCCTTAGTGGTCGTCGCTCCGTATTTTGCTCCTGATCACGCTCGTAGCGATCCTTCGCCATGCGTCGTTACCTCCTTCCTCTCTTCGCCCGTTTCGTCAACTTCGCCACGCGGCTTGTCGACGCGCTCTCCGGGTTCCTCTTCCTCCCGCCGCTCGCGACGCGCCTGCTGCAGTGGCTCCTCCCGTTAGAGGAACGTGCCGTGCTGCGCGCCGCGTACAAGGCCACAGGACTGCGTGACTATGGCGAGGGGACGTTCCTGACGGGGCTGCGGCTTCTATTGAAGGGGCTTGAAGAGGAGGCGAGGCTGAGCGCGTTTGGGAGGATTCTTATATGGAACGACGTACAGGTACAGCAATCCTGGTCGGTAAAAGATAGGTACAGTAAAAGGTTCGTTGGTACCTTTATTGGTGAGCAAAGTGGGGTCGATGATGTACAGTAACAGTAGTATTATGCAGGAGCAGATTGGCAAGCATGCATGTACTCTCCTCCACTCCGTCTCTTTCACCTCTCCCCCCAGCGCCTGCTGCGGTACCGCCTGCAGCTGGAGGATACGAGGAGGCGACACCCTGAGATAGAGGCGGAAAAGATCGAGGTGCGTGTGGGAGGAGGGAGGGAGTGAGTGAGAGGGAGTGAGAGGGAATGAGTGGGAGTGAGTGAGCGGGTGGGTGGGTGGGTGGGTGGGTTTGTCAGCCTCCTGTGTTCATCCTAGGCTGCCCTGCACGGGTTCCTCTTTAATGTTACTGTTAACCTCCTCGTTCCCCACACCTTTCTCTTCCAGTTTCCCCTCCCCACACCCATTCCTCCTCTCTCAACTTCGTTGTACCCCTTATAAGCAGGCTCCGGTGTTCATCCTAGGCCTGCCGCGCACAGGCACCACCTTCCTCTTCAACCTGCTCGCCCTCGACACCTCTCTCTTCCGCTCGCCGCTCACATGGGAGGTGCATCACATACACCCACCCCCGGACGCCACCTGCTATGACACTGATAAGCGGATTGGGGAGACAGAGGCTTTTTTGGAGGGAGTTTCTGCTCTGCTTCCTTCCTTCCAGGTGGGTTTCCTTCCTTTGTTTCTTTTTCTCTAGAAAGAAATTGCTCGACTTTTCCCTCGACTTTGACTCACATCAATTGGGAGGTGCATCACATGCACCCTCCCCCAGACGCCACCTGCTACGATACTGGTAAACGCATTGGGGAGACAGAAGCCTTTTTGGAGGGTGTCTCTGCTCTGCTTCCTTCCTTCCAGGTGGGTGGTGCCGCTGTGCCGCTGTGCTGCTGTGCTGGGTGGGTGCGTTACTCTGCTTCCTACGTTCCAGTTGACTTGTTGTGTGAGAACAGGTGCTCTTTCCTAGGTGAATGCACTGGACTCATAATGCCGTTACAACCCTCCCCCACCCTCCCCCACCGCCCGCACGCCCCACCATCCGATTCCCTTCTGCAGGCGTTGCACCCAGTGACAGCAACAGGGCCACAGGAGCGCATGGGAAGCCCTTGCAATCTCCCCAACCATCCCCCACCATCCCCCGCCGTCCCCCACCGTCCCCCCCCCAACCCCCACCATCCAATTCCTCTTGCAGGCGTTGCACCCGGTGACAGCAACAGGGCTACAGGAGTGTGGGATTCATATAATGCCCTTACAACTCCCCCACCCTCCCCACCGGTTTCCACCCTCCACCACCCTCCCCCAACCCCTCCGACCTCCCCCTTGCAGGCGTTGCACCCAGTGACAGCAACAGGGCCACAGGAGTGCATGGGACTCATGATGTGAGTGGTGGTGAGATTATGGTGTGAGTGAGTGGTTTTGGTGGGTTCATTATGTGAGGAGGAGACACAGAGCCCATGCCTCATTCCCACATCTGTGACCCCTGTTAATGTGATTCCTTATGTTGCTGTCCATGTTTTTGCGGTTTCCTCTGTGAAGGTATGTCATAATGCGATGAATTTTCTGGCACTCCATCTCACTCTCTCCATCCACACCCCCCACACTGGCCCCCATCCTCCGTGCTTTCTCAGTTGAGTTAACTCGATAGTTAGTCCTTCCTTTCCTCAACCCCCCTATTTCTTCCCCTCCCGTCTTCTCTGCCCGTTTCTCCCCTCCCCCTCCTCCCTCCCCCTCCCACCAGGTACGATTTCACGTCATTCGCCTTCCCCACCATCCACTTCAACATCCCCTCCCCTCTCGCCCTTCCTGCACGTCCCTTTCCCATCTCTCCCTCCAACCCTCTCTCCTCGCCCCTCCCCACCAGGTACGACTTCACGTCATTCGCCTTCCCCACCATCCACTTCAACATCCCTTCCTACTTTCGATGGTACCTCTCCTCAGATCTCACCCCCACCTACCGCCTCCTGCGCTGGCAGCTGCAGTACCTGCAGTGGCGCGGCCCTAAAGCCCCCCGCTGGCTGCTCAAGTGCCCGGCTCACCTCTTCTCCCTGCCCTCGCTCATGGCTGCTTTTCCTGATGCTAAGCTGATCTTCACACACAGGTGAGGTGAAACTGGTGGGGGGTAGTGGGTCAAGAGTTGGGTTAACGGTGGCAGCTGTAGCTTCAATACCTGCAGTGGCGAGGCCCAAAGGCCGCCACCTACCGCCGCTGTTCTTGCAGGGGGGGCACCTCTGCAGCACCTGCAGCACCTGCAGCACCTGCAGCACCTGCAGCACCTGCAGCACCTGCAGCACCTGCAGTACGTGCAGTGGCGAGGCCCCAAGGCCCCCTGCTGGCTCTTAAAGTGCCCGGTGCACCTCTTCTCTCTGCCCTCTCTCCTCACGGCTTTTCCTGACGCTAAGCTTATCTTCACACACAGGTAAAGAGAAGGGTTTGGGTGTGAGGGGTAGGGAGGCAGTGCAGACTTAGGGAGGGAGGGTGAGGGACCAGGGTTTCTATAGGGGGGTGATTGCATTCACTCCCAGCCCTTCTCTTTCCCGGCCCTTTCTCACATATTTTCGTTCTCTGAACTCCTATGCATGGATCTTTTATCCATCCCGCCAGGAATCCGTTGACTGTGCTGGCATCAGCACATAGCCTTATAAGGGGAGTAAGGAGCATTCACTCGGACCATGTTGACAAATCAGAGGTAAATCTGAGACTGTCCTTGTTCTCCTAAAAAAGAAATGCAGTGTTATCGATCATACGCAATATCGAAGCTGAACATGCATCGATCGTTTTCTTAGACGCTGTATACATGTCGCCTCCTCCCTCACTCATCTCCCTTTCCTCGAGACATGGCCTTTGCCACCCCGTTCCCTTCCGTCCTGCCCCCAGATCTCCCAGACATGGGTGCCAGCTGTCGCAAGCGCATTGGCTGAGATGATGCGGCTGCGTGGGATCGACGGGGCAGGCACGGAGGTGAAGGGCGGGGAAGGAGAAGTGACGGAAGCGAAGGAGCGTACAAACGGCTCCAAGGGCTATGTGACTGTAACGAAGGGAGAGGCGAAAGGGGAAGGAGATGAGGTGGAGGGAAGTGTGAGCAGTATTGTGAGCAACGGGAGCAAAAGCAACGGCTCTTCACCTATTGGTGTAAGCAGGAGCAGCACCAGCAACGGTAGCAGCAGTGGCGACAGTGGTGACGGCAGTAATGAGTTCTCTTCGATTCGCAGTGCTGACGTGCTGCTGGCTTTGCAGTCATCCCAGGCCGTTGATGTGTGCTACAGCGATCTCGTGGCCGATCCAATGGCCACGGTGCGCCGCATCTACCGAGATCTGCTCAAGCGCCAGCTGGACGATGACGTGGCGGATAAGATGCGCGCTTACCTGGCAGCTAACTCCAAGGTGAGGATAGGGGAGGGAAAAGAATGGGAGGATGGGGGATGATGATGGTTTTGTTCTTTTAGTCCTCCGCTTCCCATCTTCTCACTCTCCTTTCTCAATTCTCTCTTTTCTCTCCTCCCTTTTCTCACTCTGGTTCCTCCCTAACCCCTCGGAAAAGGCGACCTCGGCACCACAACAAGTGGGAGGATACAATGCTGGATAAGCTGCACTACCAACCTTATGGGGTGCTCAGGTCCCCATTCTCTTATCACTCTCGCTATTCTTTGTCCCCTCCCCTCCCCACTCCCTCAGGAGAAGCGCCCTGGGCACCACTACAAGTGGGAGGACACAATGCTGGATAAGCAGGCAGAGAAGCAGCGCTTTGAATTCTACATTCGTGCTTTTGGTCTTGAGAGCGAGCAGTAATACTGGATTGAAGATTGTAGTGTGAATCTTCCCCACATTGGTTGTACAGTAATACTGTATGCTTTTTGATTTAGACTATACTTCAATTTGTACTGTCTGGTGGTCTCTGTTCCAGCTTGGTTGACTTGTTGAAGGGGGCACATCTTTCTAGGGTGAGCTATGGCTTACCGTAAAGAATCCCCCTTAGAGACGGCTATGACACACTCTTTAAGGTAAGACGTATGTGACTGCTTTGCTCTTGCCAGGGACAGAAACCGCGAATGGCATACCACAATGGAACACCAGAGGCTGACCACTCTTTCATGCAATGACACTAGGGCAAATAAAAGATAATACAACCTGATTGTTACAGGAGGATGATACAAACACCATCTCAAGACAGTGGTGCAAAGGGAAGTGCTTAAACATATATCAAACCACAATGAAGCCCTTCCCCTGAAGGGGAACAAAAAAATGGTTGTGCTGGGGAAGGCACAGGATATTAAGAGGACCCAGGACAGGAGGCTGATATGGGGAGGAGGGGCGAGGGAGGAGGGGAGAGGGTGGTGGAGTATTGGTGGTTGAAGGTGATGCGACAAGGAGTGAGGGATTGTGAGAGGCAAGGAGTGCTGGGAGTAAGGAGAAAGGAGTGAGGAGTGAGGTGAGGTAAGTGGCGAAGGAAGGAGCGAGGTAGAAAGCTGAAGGAAGGTGGAGCCAAGGTATCAAGTAGACCTCCGTATCTGGACCATGTCATAGCCTGGGTGATGATGTCATGGCAAATCAAATCAACAAATCATTTTGTCTTCTCATCCTCCTGGCATCACGAGATGACCATGTCATGGGATGGGACCGTCTCAACAATGTAGTGGGAAGCACAGCCGACGCGGTTTGTAACTGCAGCGGGCACCGTAGCTGTAGTTGTAACTCCCTGAGTGTAACAGCAGCGGTGGCAACAGAGCACTTTGATGTTTCTCTTCTGGAACCAGAGCATCGCCAGTATACCATCTTATTAGAGCAGGTGCTTGTAACGCGTACAGCGCACCATTGGAACGTCGTGAGTCATGACCGGAACACACAGCTCCCCGCCAGCCCTGGTCTTTCCGCATCCGCGTCGTCCGCCCAAGCTTCCGACCACATCTGCGCGAATCCGCCAGCAGGGGCACTCGGAGAACCCAGCGCGGAACGGAACAATGAACCACACTGCGGCGCGTTCTGCTGCTTCGCTTCTGCCTCCCCCACCTCCCCGCGTTTCCGCTGCAGCTGAACACAGCTCAAAATGTTCCTGGCAGCAGCAGGCTGATCATGCGAAAGATTATTGGTTGGAATTTCCGCCTCGTCCGCCATCCCCGCGCCCTCACCCGCCATCTCCACTCCATCCTCCGCCATCCCCGTCCCTTCGTCCCCCATCCCCGCCCCGTCGTCCGCGACTTCCCGCGCCCTCACCCGCCATCTCCACTCCATCCTCCGCCATCCCCGTCCCTTCGTCCCCCATCCCCGCCCCGTCGTCCGCGACTTCCCTGGCGTTGTCCCCCATCTCCGCACTCTCGTCCCCCATTTCTTGAATCCGCTCAAAAACGCACTCCGCGTCAATCATTAAACCCTCCCTGCCGTCAGCTATCCCCGTTTTCACCGAATAATCACCCCACTTATCGTCTAACTCCGGAACAACCGGCGCAACCTTCTCAGACTGAGCTATTTCTTCCGCCGGAATGCGCAGTTCTTCCGCCCATCCCGGTTCTTCCTCCATTTGCCCGCCCGCTTCTTCCCCCTCACCCGCGCCGAACTCCCGCAGCAGCTCCTCGAAAAACGACGAATCTCCGCCGTTGGCGCTCGCGTCGTCGCAGATCTGGACCGTCAGCGAAGCTATAGACGCGGATGGGGTGGGAGGCGGAGTGGTGGGGAGAGCAGAAGCGGAGCGGTACCGCTTAGAACTCTTAGAGAACAGCAGTCCGGGAGACTTAGCAGTGGCAGTCGAGCAGACGGACGAAATCATATCGGAATCCCATTGCATGATGTCCCACAGGCTCGGCTTCACGCCCTCCGCGTCCCTCTCGCGGCTTCGATTCTCCGCGCACTCGCTGCCGCACTCGCCGCCGCACTCGCCGCCGCACTCGACGCGTCGCCCTCGCTTCTCGCCGTCCCCCATCGCCGCGCGGTCCACGAGACCAGGACGACTATCCATACCGTCGCGCGGTTCGGGCTTGCGGCATGAGAGGAAGCGGTCGTCTCGCGCGTGCCGCCACGGGTTACATTTTAACGCGACTGACTCATTCTTCAGCGCCTCCTCTGAAGGAATATATTAGAGAGCGTAGCGATAGCGAGAGAGTCTCTGCTATGGGAATGATGTTGCGCCAGCAAGAGTTTTGGTAGCGTTTGCCTCTAAGGACTTTGTGAGAATTGAAGTATCATTTGGGCCAAGTAGAATTGCAATATCAATTATCAAACACACAAGCAAACACAAACATATATAGGCAAGCAAGAGTTGCACAATTGTTGCGTGGCGCTGCGAGTAACCCAACCCACACGAAAGTGCTGTGCAGGTGGGTGAACGCGCCCCGCACATTTCCAACCCAACTCGGCACCGGAATGTCTCACCGTGCACGCTACTCCTGCCAACACAGCAAGTGAGCAGCGTGCCTCACAAGCAAGGCACCTACGACCCCCAAGACTCGTCATTCCTAGCACCGATTCCGCCGAGTTCGCTGCAGTAGCTCACAGTCACCCGTAGTCACTAATGACCGCCACCGAACTCGTGCGTCGGTGCCGAGTAGACTCAGTCGTTAGGCGCCGACCTGCCAAGTCAAAGGTCATCGAGGGCCCTTGCTGTCGTAGGGCCCTCTAACATCCTCCGCGCGGGGAAGGGAGAGCTTTTCTCGCACCCATTGCGGGATGTCCAACGTGTCCATGCCGGCAGCGTCAGCCCATTCGCATGTCGACACGTGGTCGTTGACTTGGTCAACGTGGTCAACGGCGGCGGGGGAAACGGCGGCGGGGGAGTAGCCCGAAGCGGATAATGTTCCGCGGATGGTGGACGCGCCCGCGGAGACGGCGGGCGCTCTTCCGCCGCTATCCGCGGCAACGTCACACGTGCGTGCTCGGGGCAGCCGCGGCTCGACGAGGGGCGGACACGAGGGAGTGCTTGGCGCGGTGCCACACTTTTGCGGCGCCTCGAAGGCACACGCCCGCGGAGAGTCCGCGAAACGAAAGGCTGGAGGCCGCGAGGCAGTGTTGTGAGACGTACTTGTCCAGGGAGAGGTAAAACGCGCTTCGGGGATGCGTGTTGAAGGGAAGAAGGCGGAATCTGGCAAAACGAGCAGCTTGGGGGAAGCGGGGAAGGCGGAACAGGCGGGGGAGGCGGCGGAGACGGGGGAGGATGTCAAGCGGAGTGGCGGAGGAGCGGACTCGTCGGCGGGATCTGCTTCCGCCGCAGCCGGCGACCGCATTCCCCACGCGAGAGTGCGAGCCCTCGGCGTTAGCGGATGCTGACGGGTCTCGCGACGGCGCGGCGGTCGAGGCGAGCGCTTCGTGGCCGGTCCAGTAACAGTAGTAGTCGCACCGCATTGCGCGGCGGTGATAGCGCCGCGTTGAGCCGTGGCGCTACTAGTAGTAGGTCGAGGCGTCTCTGTTCGACAGTATGCAGGCCAGTCGTTGCAGAAAATCGTAGCAGGCTCGTCATGTCGAAATTCCCCCTCAGGGGCAGAGAGAGGCTCTCTCTCCCTGCCGGATCTTGGAACCGCGTTGTCAAAATCAATTGCAGAACCGGCGGCGCCCTCTGCGGGACCCACGGGACCCAAGGAAGCGTCATGATTTGCAGGATATTGAATAAATCTAAAAAAATCCTCGCTATTACTAGTTCTTAGAGCGGCATTGGTAGAATCTGCAGCAGCAGGTGACTCAGAGCGGGTTTTCCGAGGCGTCTCTGGGCCGCATTGCCTTCGCTTTCTTGGACTCGGCGCCTGAAGGCTCGGCATGATGGGGAGGCTCGGCATCTGGATGTTCGGCATGGATAGGCTCGGCATGGGAAGGTTCCCGAACGCGGAAACGGGCTCGGGGCTGTTTTTATCTTTCGGGAATGAATTCGTGGGCCACGTGGGTTGATGCTCGAACCACTCAGACGGAGCGTCTTTCGTCTTTGCCGCGACTCGAAGCGCATCCATGAAGCTCATCCCGCACGCCATGGCTGCTAATGTGTCAACCGCTGCCGTTCGTTGCGCTGCGGCTAGTAACGCGCTTCTGAACCGATCTTTTTGGGAGGAAATTATGGGCCGTCAACGCAGTCTTTCGGAAGGGATGGCGGACGATGAAACTACACATGATGCTCAGTCGAATCGCAGACATCTGCTCAGCCCAAACGCGACGCCGTCCCTTTCACGTTTGGTGACGGGCAACCGCCCGTCATGTACAAGCCCTCGCGGCTCGGGAAGATTCGGAAAGTTGACAACAAGTGGTTGGGAAGCTCCGACCTCCCACTTGCATCCCTGATTTCCGATGTACAACAAACGAAGCCACCCAGAACTGTAGCAGTAAAATTATCTGCGTAACAGTGGTGTTCTTTACAGTCCCTTTTCTGCCCGTGGCGAAACTGACGAAACGCTCGCGAATTAGATGCTCGCTTCACTCCCCCGGTGTCGAAAAAGATGGCGTGAGTGAAACGGGCATCATGTGTATGTGCATCTACACGTAGGTGGTGCAACTCCCAATGCAACTTGACATCGCACAAACCGTAGGCTCTGGTGCATCTAGGGGGTGTGTGGGATGGACTCCTGCAAACCTGAAGGAATCGCTCCCACCCACCCACATCACCTCATCATACTGTACAAGTCACTAGCTCGTCACCACGACAGTCGTGGTGGCACTTGAGTTGGGGTGAGTTGCAATTTCCTTACTGGCAGGTCACACTTGCCTAGTGTTCAAGCTTGACCTATCGACGCAAACCAGACTGGCGGGGAGGAAACAGAAGGCGGAAATGCGGGGAGAAAGGGGGGTCGGTGGGAAATATCCGAAACCAGCGGTGGCAGGGAAACAGGACTCCTGCGTGTAAAGGTGAACGGTAAGAGGGGTATTAGATCCTGTTCCATGTGCACTGGGGGGAAGAGATGGAGAGGGGGGATCGGGGAATGGGGAAATGGGGAGAACTATGGGAGCTGGGCTTGTGTTTGGGGGGCCGTGGGACAAGGCAGAATGATTTCAGTACGTTCTGTATATGGTCACTTGAGGGATACAGTGTACTGTGCCCCCCCACGCTCCGTTTTCAAGGTGGGAAGGAGGCGGCGCAAAGTTGTTTGGGAAAAGAGCTTTCATGCAGCTGTTTGTAGTGGGGGCAAGGGTGTGGGAACGGAGGGGACGTGCAGCACTGCACTGCGGGAAGGACAGATTGCGCGGAACGTCCATGGACGGGTAGCTGAACGTTTTTGCCCGAAAGCTGATTGGGAGAAATGCTGAGGGCAGAGGAAGGCGGAGCGCGACTGCAACGATTGGTGCGAGTGGCTCAGTACAGCATTCCGTTCCATTCCGTGCAGGCCTGTCGCTTGCAGGGCGTTTGCCCTGCTGGACCTTGAATTCCAGGGCTGGGTTGCACTTGAAAACTGAAATTGATGGGTTGAAAAAATTATGGCCCTGATTCCTTACAAGGCTGATTTCGGGCTTAGGCCTGGAGTGTTAAGGGTAGATTTTAGGCGAGCCCTGGAACAAAATATTTCGAACCTCCCCTCCTACCCCTTCCCCCCCCTCCCCCCCCCCCTCCTCCCCCCAAACTCCTCCATTCCCCCTCCCCCCGTTTCTATCTTGATTGCATTCAAACCTGGCAAATTTGGAGTTGCGTGGCTGGGCCACAGATTCAACTCAACCTACAACTGGTACTTGCGACAATCATAACCTCGCTCCCATCCCATGACACACAGACAGTAGCATGAATCAGCATGCAGCAGCAAAACACATCTCAGATCCCCGTCGTGCAGTGCACCAGCAGGCATGATTCGGCATAGCAGCAGCAAAACACATCTCAGATCTTTGCTAAGAGTTGGAAGAGGAGGAAGTCTGTTAAGCGTGCGTAGTGAATGACGCTAACTAGTTTTTTATGTAGTCTTTGCTTATTGTAATACTTGCAGAGTGCAGCTGTTAGCTTTGTGGTAGAAATGAGGCTGCAGAATTTTCCGCGCCAAACCTGATTTACAGGGAGGAAAATTTTTAAGCCCTGAAGCCTAAAGGGCCGAGATTCGCCCCGACCCTGCTAAATAGAGGGTCGTACATGCCGGGCCCCCTGATTTGTCCGGGGGGGCCAAAACGAAACGACAGCCCTGATTCCGTGTATTGTCCTACCCACTGCAGCAGCATCAGCCAAACTGGACAATACACACCACTGATGCTTACCGAGTACCACATGGCTGTTTTCATATTCAAGATTCTTGAATATGAATTCGCCAAAAACCAAGTTACCACCTAAAGTCTAGCATTCTCTCACGATAGTGATCCGTGATTGGCCAGCGACACTCAAAGTCTTACCGAGCGGAGGTTCACCTGGCAAGGCAGCACTGTTCACTTGAAGTGAACTTGAAAACCATCTGGTACTAAATGCACATCATACTCTACGTAGTTCACTCCCTATCTCTTTTTCTGCCAGTGATTTATCACAGGACGAGATAGAAATGCGTTGTAAAACATGCTCGCTCGTCACTTAGGTGCCCCCGTCGCCTTCGCCAGCCCGCGACGCCTTCGGTTCCTTCACTCCCGGTAGTTGCTTCCTTACGTCAATCTCGCTTCCTTACGTCGCCCACGCTTCCTTACGTCGCCCGCGCTTCCTTACGGAACTCACGTTTCCTTTCGTCGCACACGCTTCCGGTCGTCTCTCCCTTCCATTCGCCGCCCTCCCTTCCGCCCGTCGCCTTCCATCCGCTCGTCGCCCACCCTTTTGCCCGTCGCCCTCCCTGGCGCACGTCGTTCTCCCATCCGCGCGTTGTATCTCCCATCCGCGCGTCGCCCTCCCTTCCGCCCGTCGCCCTCCCTTCCGCACGCCGCCCTCACTTCCGCCCGTCGCCCTCCCTGGCGCATGCCGCCCTCCCTTCTGCGCGTCGCCCTCCCATCCGCCCGTCGCCCTCCCATCCACGCGTCGCCCTCCCATCCGCCCGTCGCCCTCCCTTCCGCCCGTCGCCCTCCCTTCCGCCCGTCGCCCTCCCATCCAAGCGTCGCCCTCCCTTCCGCCCCTCCCTTCCGCCCGTCGCCCTCCCTCCCGCCCGTCGCCCTCCCTTCCGCCCTGCCATCCACGCCGCGCCGCCCTCGCCATCCCTCCCGTCTCCCATCCCATCGCGCACACTGGTCACCCTCCCTTTTCTACCCCTACACACGCCCTTCCCACCCCCCAATAATCGCAAATCTCCCCCACACTGCTTACCTCTCCCACTCTCCCCATCCCCTTCCATGCCGCCTCCAATCCCCTTCCCTGCTTTCCCCCCTCCCCTTCCCTGCTTCCCCCCATCCCCTTCACTGCTTCCCCCCCTCCCCTTCCCTGCTTCCCCATGTCCCCTTCCCTGCTTCCCCCCATCCCCTTCCCTGCTTCCCCCCATCCCCTTCCCTGCTTCCCCCCATCCCCTTCCCTGCTTCCCCCCATCCCCTTCCCTGCTTCCCCCCATCCCTTTCCCCGATTCCCCATGGCCCGTTCCCTGCTTCCCCCCTTCCCCTTCCCTGCTTCCCCCCATCCCCTTCCCCGATTCCCCCCATCCCCTTCCCTGCTTCCCCCCATCCCCTTCCCTGCTTCCCCCCATCCCTTTCCCCGATTCCCCATGGCCCGTTCCCTGCTTCCCCCCTTCCCCTTCCCTGCTTCCCCCCATACCCTTCCACGATTCCCCCCATCCCCTTTCCTGCTTCCCCCCATCCCCTTCCCTACTTCCCCCCATCCCCTTCCCTGCTTCCCCATGTCCCCTTCCCTGCTTCCCCCCATCCCCTTCCCTGCTTCCCCCCATCCCCTTCCCTGCTTCCCCATGTCCACGTCCCTGCTTCCCCCCATTCCCTTCCCTGCTTCCCCCCATCCCCTTCCCTGCTTCCCCCTATCCCCTTCCCTGCTTCCCCCCATCCCTTTCCCCGATTCCCCATGGCCCGTTCCCTGCTTCCCCCCATCCCCTTCCCTGCTTCCCCCCATCCCCTTCCCTGCTTCCCCATGTCCACGTCCCTGCTTCCCCCCATTCCCTTCCCTGCTTCCCCCCATCCCCTTCCCTGCTTCCCCCTATCCCCTTCCCTGCTTCCCCCCATCCCTTTCCCCGATTCCCCATGGCCCGTTCCCTGCTTCCCCCCATCCCCTTCCGTGCTTCCCCCCATCCCCTTCCGTGCTTCCCCCCATCCCCTTCCCCGATTCCCCATGTCCCGTTCCCTGCTCCCCCCCATCCCCTTCCCTACTTCCCCCCATCCCCTTCCCTGCTTCCCCATGTCCACTTCCCTGCTTCCCCCCATCCCCTTCCCTGCTTCCCCATGTCCCCTTCCCTGCTTCCCCCCATCCCCTTCCCTGCTTCCCCCCATCCCCTTCCCTGCTTCCCCCCATCCCCTTCCCTGCTTCCCCCCATCCCTTTCCCCGATTCCCCATGGCCCGTTCCCTGCTTCCCCCCATCCCCTTCCGTGCTTCCCCCCATCCCCTTCCGTGCTTCCCCCCATCCCCTTCCCTGCTTCCCCATGTCCCCTTCCCTACTTCCCCCCATCCCCTTCCCTGCTTCCCCATGTCCCCTTCCCTGCTTCCCCCCATCCCCTTCCCTGCTTCCCCATGTCCACGTCCCTGCTTCCCCCCATTCCCTTCCCTGCTTCCCCCCATCCCCTTCCCTGCTTCCCCCCATCCCCTTCCCTGCTTCCCCCCATCCCTTTCCCCGATTCCCCATGGCCCGTTCCCTGCTTCCCCCCATCCCTTTCCGTGCTTCCCCCCATCCCCTTCCGTGCTTCCCCCCATCCCCTTCCGTGCTTCCCCCCATCCCCTTCCCCGATTCCCCATGTCCCGTTCCCTGCTTCCCCCCATCCCCTTCCCTACTTCCCCCCATCCCCTTCCCTGCTTCCCCCCATCCCCTTCCCTGCTTCCCCCCATCCCTTTCCCTGCTTCCCCATGTCCCCTTCCCTGCTCTCCTCCTCACTCTATTCCCCCCTGCTCTATTCCCCCTGCTCTATTCCCCCCTGCTCTATTCCCCCCTGCTCTATTCCCCCCTGCTCTGTTCCCCCCTGCTCTATCCCCCCCTGCTCTATTCCCCCCTGCTTTATTCCCCCCTGCTCTATTTCCCCCTGCTCTATTCCCCCCTGCTCTATTCCCCCCCTGCTCTCTCCCCCCTTGCTCTCTCTCTTCTCACCTCCTCACTCCGTTTCCCCCTTGCTCACTCGGTTTTCCCATTGCTCATTCTCTTTCCCCCTGCTCACTCTCTTTCCCCATTGCTCATTCTCTTTCCCCCTGCTCACTCTCTTTCCCCATTGCTCATTCTCTTCCCCGCTGCTCATTCTCTTTCCCCTTGCTCATTCTGTTTCCCCCTGCTCATTCTGTTCCCCCCCTGTTCACTCCCTTCCCCCATGCCCACCCTCTTGCCCCCTGCTCACTCCCTATCCCCCCTTCTCACTCTCTTCCCCCCTCCTCACTCTCTTTCCCCCCTGCTCAATGTCTCCCCTGCACTCTGTTTTTTGCTGCTCATTCTGTACAGGTCCCCAGCACCAGGTGTAGGGAGGGACCCACAAGTCCTGCTTTTTTGCTGCTGTGTATGCAGACAAGAGTGGGAAAAGACATATTATTGAGTAACTTGGTTCTTTTTTCCTAGATTGTTGCACTTCGTAGGTGGTCAATGGTCACTCTCCTCCATGGATCAAAATTTAGTTATAATAATAAACATACAACATTCCCACGGCCATGTATCATACCTAGTGGTACTATCAAACAACCAACATTCCAGCCGGTAAGCATACAAAAGAATGACAACTGACAAGGAAGCAACACGAAGAGGAAGAAATAAAAAGACACTCCTGGAACGGTAGGAGACAAACAGAAGGACGACCAGGGGAAAAGAGGGACAGAGAAACGGAGGAAGGGACGTATGGAGGAAGAGAGGAACAGAGGAAGGGAAGGATGGATGGGGAGGGAGGACAGGCAGCACCACGTCTGCCTCTGCTGTGTGACTCTGCCCACCGCCATCCGCCCACAGCGCCCCAAGCAGCTCCCTGGTGCAGAAAAGCACAGGGGATGAAGAGGTGCCGCTGGGCCGAGGGCGGTGTGGGAAACACCTGGAGGGGAGGGTGAGAGGATCGGATGGGGAAAGGACGGATGGGGAGGGATGAGGAGAGGATGGATGGGAAGAGGAGGGAAGTGGTGAGGTGGGATGGGCGGATGGGGAGAGGACGGGAGGGGGTGGGGAGAAGAGGGGATGGTGAGAGGAGGGGATGGGGAGAGGAGGGGACGCGGTGACGAGGGAAGGGGAAAGAAGCGGATGTGTATAGGAGGAGATGGGGTGAGGAGGAGATGGGGTTAGGAGTATGGTGAATGGGGTATGGTGAAATGGTGAAAGTAGGCATGGGGAATGGAAGGATGGGGAACGGAGGGAGAGGGAATGGAAGGATGGGGAACGGAGGGAGAGGGAATGACGGGATGGGGAAAGGAGGTCTGGGGAAACGAGGAAAGGGGGATGGGAAGTAGGATGGCAGGGCGAGAGGAAGGGATTGAGAGAAGGGGGTAGGAAGGGCGGAAGAGGGGGATGGGAAGTAGGAAGAGGTGGGAAATGGCGACGTGTGACGATGCCACGGGGTGCGGCGGAGATGGGGTGAGGCATGGGGAGATGAGGGATGGATGGATGAGCGATGGAGAGGTGAGGCATGGGGAGATGAGGGATGGGGAGGTGAGAGATGGGGAGGTGAGGGATGGGGAGATGATGGATGGGGAGATGAGGGATGGGGAGATGAGGGATGGGGAGATGCGGGATGGGGAGATGCGGGATGGGGAGATGAGGGACGGGGAGGTGAGGGAAGGGGAGATGAGGGATGGGGATATGCAGGATGGGGAGATGAGGGATGCGGAGATGAGGGATGGGGAGATGAGCGATGGGGAGGTGAGGCATGGGGAGACGAGGGATGGAGAGATGAGGGAAGGGGAGATGAGGGATGGGGAGATGAGGGGTGGGGAGACGAGGGATGGGGAGACGAGGGAAGGGGAGATGAGGGATGGGGAGACGAGAGTGTGGGGTGTGGCGTAGCAGGAGGAAGGGGAGTTGCAAGGAGCGGGGAGTCCCCATTCTCGTTAGAGGGGAGGGAGTGTGGGCGACGGAAGAGAGTGAGGAGGGGCGAAAGAGGCGTCGCGCGAAGGCGACGGGAGGGGAGGGAGCGTGATCGTGCGTCAGGAAGGAAGCGTGGGCGACGGGAGGGAGTGATCATCCTCTTTGGAGGGGAGTGCGCGAAGGCGACGGGAGGGGAGTGCGCGAAGGCGACGGGAGGGGAGTGCGCGAAGGCGACGGGACGGGTGTGCGCGAAGGCGACGGGACGGGTGTGCGCGAAGGCGGCGGGAGGGAAGTGCACGAAGGCGACGGGAGGGGAGTGCGCGAAGGCGACGGGAGGGAAGTGCGCGAAGGCGACGGGAGACGAGTGCGCGATGGCGACGGGAGGGGAGTCCGCGAAGGCGACGGGAGGGGAGTGCGCGAAGGCGACGGGAGAGAGTGCGCGAAGGCGACGGGAGGGGAGTGCGCGAAGGCGATGAGAGGGAGTGAGCTATGGCGATGGAGGGAAGTGTGAGACATTGACGGGAGAATGGTCGCGTGGGCGACGGAGGGGAGTGAACGTAGGCGACGGCGACGAGTCGCGTGCATTTTCAAACCAATCTACGCACATGGCTTCGCTTTCTAACCCCCTCCAAGCACCAAACTCGTGGTGCAGTGTCGCACAGTTGGGTGACGAGTGCTGAAGCTCGTCGCTGCCTGGTTTCACTTTCGCACCTGTTCAGTTCTCGAAATGTTTTTTTTATGCCTTTCGCGAACACAATTAAAGCCCTCGCGTCACTGTTGCAAAAACCATGCTGACCTCGGGCTTTAAAGGCCGCTAAACACTGGGATTATCGGTGGAGACGATAGAATGGGCAACATTCTGACGACATTCGGATCGCTATATTTTCCCGGCGCCTATGCTTTCAAAGTAGATTTCTACGAAATCCAAGTTTTCAGGGGGTTTTACAATGCCTGTCCTGGACTGAATCCAAGCAAAAAAACAAAATTGACTGGGAGCTTCCGAAGTTTTTAAATACATTTTTAGTCTTTGTACTCAGTCAGTATATCCTCTAAGCTCGCTCCTTCAGACGCCAACATTCCCCCGACCCCTCCCTACCTCTCCCACACTCCCATACTACCGCGACAACCAGCACCAAACTCCACACGGAGTCCTGACCTTGTAGACCTCGTGTCAATTGTTGTCAATTGTTTCTGTAGAGTGTCTAACCAATGTCTACGGTTCCGAAAATGCTGATTGGGAGGATTTCAGGTACACCCTCATTCTCGCTAGACTGACCTCGGTTATACGAACTTGCAGGAAGAAACAGAATGGTTGAGAGCGGTTAAAGATGGTTCGATATGGTTCATTAAGACAATTTGAATAAGACAAAATCAGCCTGCCAGACGCCCGCTGGTGAGATGACCGAGAATTAGGGTGTAAACACTAACTCCGACAGGACAATTTCCACTGAACCTGCTTTTTCAGGGAGTGTGTTTCTCGGTGCTCTGTGCATTCGGGGCTAGTGAAAAAACAAATCTGATTCAATAGGTGTTACTACACCCGTCTGCAACGCATGTGTACAGACAAATCTTCGCGTGCGTTGCGGAAGGCCATTCTTTCAAGGGCTATGCTTCAAGTGTAGTCTGGTCAGTCTGACCAATCCATCCCGCTCGCAGGTTTTTGGGAGAGCATTTTTTCGGGTGTGGAAAAACGCGCGGACACGGTGTCTACATACACGTAGGACTACCGGCGCGTGGCTCATCAGTGCAAGGAGGGGCGAGCTGACGTGAGCGAGCTGATTTGGATACGTGCCACGAGGAAGTTCAGAACTGGAATTGGTAAACTCTGTCGTGCTGTCCTTGTACTGTATCACCAAATATCCAAACACTCTAGTGTAATTCATTCCAACTAACTTCAAACACAATTCCTTGTAACAATGATTGTAATAATAATGACCATAAGCATAATACGTGCAAGATCAGAATGACATTGCATACAAGCACAAGACATAGGGTTCACTAACTAGCCATGTAACCTAAGGGGTACATTCCCTTATTATGAAAATATATGTTTGGTAATTCTGTACTGACTGTTGCGATACAGTTACCGGTTGCAGTAACGAAACCTTCTAGGAGGTAGTCGAGAGACGCGACATTTGACCGAGACCGTTGACTTTTCACGTCCCTATTATTGCGTCCTCTATAAGAGGCTGAATGCGCCACTGCCATAACTTGTGGACTTTAAAGAACCTTCCGTTATTCCAACGTCAGCCAACCAAAACAGGACGCGCCTCGAAGAGGAACTCAAGTATCATAATAGCACCCGACAGAGCGGCTTCCATCAGGCAAGCCCCACCTGGTTGTGATGAAGGAATAAAAGAGATGTAAAGAATAAAGACATACACCAGAGAAATGTGAGGGATTGATGGACCTTGGATAAAGGGTGGGCTGTATGGTGTAATTGTGCACCAGACCATTGTCTTGGTATAATGTGAAGTGAAAACGCAAAGTGAAAATGATACACGGTAGGTATGACAACATGCGGACTGCTAAACGAGTTGTGATTGGCAACTTACGTTCTTGCCATCACAATCATGGGAGGACCAGCCATTGTGCGCGACAGTGTCCGGCTCGAGGGGGAGCAGTTATCGTCAGTGAAAAAAGCGACGTAAAGTGGTTTGTGACTGGCGACTTACGTTCTTGCCATCGCAATCATTGGAGGACCAGCCATCGTGCGCGACAGCGTCCGGCTCGAGGGGGAGCAGTTATCGTCAGTGAAAAAAGCGACGTAAAGTGGTTTGTGACTGGCGACTTACGTTCTTGCCATCGCAATCATTGGAGGACCAGCCATCGTGCGCGACAGTGTCCGGCTCGAGGGGGAGCAGTTATCGTCAGTGAAAAAGGCGACGTAAAAGCAACCCGGAACACCACCAATGTGATCCACTGAGTACGCGAGCGTGTAGATCCCGGCCACCTCCTTCGGGATTGGAGTGCAGCCGGGTTGTGTTAAGCGGATGGTGTAGGGCTTGGACGCGTTGCCTCTGGAGTTACGATCCGCGATGAAAGTCATACTGCTGGCAGACACTTGGTCGGGTTGGTCTGAGAATGGATGGGAGAAAATAGCAGGGGAGAGGGGTGGGGCATGGATGGGAGAGGGAACGAGAAGGAAAGGCCATGCCATGAATCATGATGCTATGGATTGGGATAGGAACGAACTGTGACGGCAAAAAGCAGACTCGCGCCCAAGTTGAAGCTACTGCTGCCTTTTGAGTCGACTCAAAAGTTGAAGCTACTGCTGCACTCCAAGGTGACAAGTCGTTCTGGGTTTCGGGTTTCTGCTTCAATAGAAAGGCTCTCCGCTTCAGGATCGTGCCACCCACCTTAGGCACCTCAAATTTCAGGATGAGAGGCCTTTTGCTGTCCCCGCCTAATTATGCCTCATCAAAACGCTGAGGCAGGAGAATGCAGAATGTGATCAAAGGAGAGGAAGCTGGTGGTGCACTATTGAATCTTACTCTGGATGCATCCTGCTGCGGTCATCCCGTAGCCTGGAGGGCACTGGCAGTACGGCACCTCCGCCTGCAGGGGACTTGCGTTACTAGTTGTACTGACGGTTTTGCAAGTGGCTGAAAGAAGAGGAAGCAGAAGGGGCGGTAGCTGTACTTACTCTGGATGCATCCTGTTGCGGTCATCCCGTAGCCTGGAGGGCACTGGCAGTATGGCACCTCCGCCTGCAGGGGACTAGATGCTGTTGTGGGGACGGTGTTGCAGGTGGCTCCAGTGGGACACGTGCCGCAGGGAGAGTCTGAGGAACAGGGCAATGGGGGGGGACACATGGAATGAAGGAGAGATGGTGAAATGAGGCGGGAGGGCACTGGCAGAACGGCACATCTGCCTGCAGGGGACTGAAAGCTGTAGTTGTATGGACGGTGTGGCAGGTGGCTCCAGTGGGACACGTGCCACAGGGTGAGTCTGAGCAGCACCAGCACAGGGGGGGGACACAGAAAGCAGGGGGGAAAGGCATGTCACATGTGGAACCGCAGATAGATGGTGAAATGGGATCGAAGGACACTGGCAGTAAGACACCTCCGCCTGCAGGTCACTATATGCTGTTGTAGGGACGGTGTTGCAGGTGGCATGAGTGGGACAGGAGCCGCAGGGAGAGCCTGAGCAACACAGCACGCAGGGGGGTACTTAATTGTAGGAAATGATCGAGGTAGTGGGAAACGAGTGAGGATAGGGTGGGTTGAGGGTGCAGAGGGTTGAAATTGAGAAAATAAAAAATCAGCCTACAGCAACAAAAAGGATTGCGGCAAATGATAGCGGAAAGCTGGAAGGGAAGGCGTCCTTACTCCAATTGCAAGAGGAAATGAGAGCGGAAGGGTGCGGAAGGGTGCGGATGGGTGCGGATGGGCTGGGATGGGTGTAGAGAAAGCTGGAAACGAGCGTGCTTACTCCATTTGCAGGAGCGGATTCCATCGGCGCTTTTCACACAAACCCCATCTGGCAAAAGCCCAACGCAGCGCAAGCCGTGTCTGATGTGATGTGAGTGCAAGGAAGGATGGGGTGGAAGAAAGGGGAAGCAGAAAACAACGGGGGTGATGAAAGAAAAGAAAGAAATACAGGACGTGGAACCCCATCTGGTTCGCAACCCAACGCGGCACAAGCCGTGTCTGATGTGATGTGAGTGCACAGAAGGATGAGGTGGAGGAAGGGTGAAGAGGAAAATAACGGGGATGATGCTCGAGAGAAAAGAGAGAAATAGAGAATCATTCACGTCCGAACATGAAGGATAACGGCCCAAGCAAGAAGTTCCAAATATGTACGACAAATCTGAATATGGATTCTGAATATCCACCCTCCAGGCGAGGCCACTGCAACAACTCACCGACGCAAAGCAGTTCGCTCGGAGGCATCTCAAAGCCTGAGTCACACTGGCAGGTTGGATCACCACTCTCTTTCCTCACGCACTTGCCATTGGCCCCGCAATTCACCGCAGCACAGTTGTCTGCAGAGAAAGAGACGCAGGCAGGTGGACATATATCACAATATAAAAAGCAACAAGATTCAAATGTCGACTCTTGCGGGAAACTTTGGAATTGAGTGGATTTGCGGGCCTGGCCGACTATTCTGCATTTGAAACGCAAGGCACACGCTCTGTGTTGCACCCATTCAACTCACCAACGCAAGAGAGCGTGTCATTCGACGGCTTAAAGCCCGTGTTGCAACTGCAAGATGGCTTTCCGTTCGCATCCTTTGTGCAGTTGCCTCCAGGGCCACAATTCACCGCATCACACAAATCTGCATGGAATAGGGACCCGGGCAAGTGGAAGGAGAATATTAAAGCCCTGGTTGCATGGAGACGTGAGTGGAGGGAGCAGGAGAGGCAACGAGATACCACATGCAACGTACCTACACAAGTGCCATTGACGGCAGTCAATCCCGGGTTGCATGGACAGGTGACGCCCTTGCTGTCACTCGTTGGCATGCATGTGGAGTTGCTGGGACATGTGGCGTGCTGGCAGGTAATTTCTGCGAGCATGGGGGGGGCAGCATGAGAGAAGAGAGCCATGGGTAGCACAGAGACAGGTGACGGCCTTGCTGTCACTCGTTGGCATGCACGTGGAG